GGGTGTATCGGTGTTCCGACAGCAAACGGAAAATATGGGGCTGACATAGCTGGATGTTTGATGAAGCGTTTGATTATATGGAGGAGTGGGCTACAGAGTCCTGGTCCCGTAGAGCTGCCATCAGCCCTGCCCACTGGTTCAATGATACTCTGGAATAGGGAATAGCACTCACTCCATCGACCCGTTCGTTCTATGTCCTTCCGCATGACACAGAGTCGCTTCGAGATGCACCGTCTCCAGAGAAATCAGCTGAATACATAAAGGAGAGCATTTAGTGGTAGATGAACATCTACCATGAGACCCATATAGGCCGAAATCAATAGCTCAATAGCTGGCTCTATTATCCATGTCTATGAATGCGTAATAGGGGTGCGGATAATATATTTACTGCTCGGTATTTCGCCTCTCGGCGCTGCGCCGCATCCTGCTATCTATTGGGAAAGACCTCCAGTGCGACCGTCAGTGCTAGTCATGAAGACAGGCGCGAAAAGGAGTCAGCAAGTCCTTATCTTTACAGTCCTCTTTTTCTTATTTGCCTGGTGTACGATTATTGTTCTAAAACATAACCGGGCGTGGGCAGATGAGCATAACGAATATTGGATATTGGATAAAAGTAGTTGCATGCAGAGCCAGACAGACACATTCATCAACACTGGTTACCAATTATTCATAATTGCCCATTGGTAATATCAAGATATTGCACAGGCAACAAACATTACGGCATCTCTCTACGGCTGCGCGCCAGACTATTTAACTTTCTCCATTTTCATCATCAGCGCTCGACCTGGATTATCACTGACCATCTGTGCAGCATCTACCTTCCTCTGCAGCCTCTCCCCACTTCCTTCTGTCTCTGGGGAGGACACGGCTGCCCACTCTACTTACAGGCCTAGTCGTGGAGAACGGCCCCAGAGGAGTTGCTTCAGTACCGGCCGGCAGTACCGATCCGCACAGCAGGCCGATGGGAAGCGCCGCTTCGCCGTGATGAGCCTGCGGTGTGAGTGACTACGTACTGGAGTCGCAAGTGTAGCCAATTTCGACCAGGCAGGCTCACTGCTGGCGTCGAGGTCACATCGGTGAGGCTTCCGCTACCCGGAATACTTGTATGCGTGAGGTGCGCCGACCTGTGTGGTATCTGTGGCTGTACCCTGGAATTTTACCGTTAACCCTATTAGTGGCAGGCTCCTGGTTAAAGCCCACTACGCCCCGAACAGCAGAGCCACGAGAAAAGCCACCACGATTGCCTGCAAGCAATCAAAACCGCATGTGTTTCGGAGGCTTCTGGGGCGCAAATGAAACTTGGCGCCCAGCTGGGGCTCGCTGTGAGGGATTCTGACATGCGAGTCACGCCAGCGCGACTCGTAAATTTGTTGGAGCCTGTGTTCTATTGGCGCTAAATGGGTGACCGTAATCTTACAAGTGTCGAGCCGCGAGATTCGGATCACAGCTGAGATGCGATCCGAACTGGGTCACCACCGCTTTTGTCCTCTAACAAACCTTTTAGGTAAAAGATGAACAAAAAAGACAACAGCAGGAAATAGATTGTTCATATCTTTATATGCATTAGGTAATGGTCAAATCATAACAGCGTCAGCTATAATTTGTAGCAATAATCATGCTTTAAAGCTGCAGCTTTCACCACTTTACATATCTGTTAAGGCTTATGTCGGATCTTCATCAACTTACTTTTTATGTGTGAGGTAGCAAGTTTTTAAAGCCCTATGTGATGTCCTAAACTGTGATACGACGATATCACCGACTCAAGTATTTTCGCCAACACCGCGGGCTAGCAGACGGCCCATAAAACAGCAATGTAACTGGTTTGAGTAGGTATTTTGAGAAGAAGAGCTCCGTAACGCCCAAAGTATCAGCTTCTGAACTACACGAACGGTGATCTCAGCTTTTTAACGGTGTTGGAGCAATATCTATAACTCACTGACCCCATAGGTACGAGCTCACAGTTGAAACGATGAAATATCAGTGTCTCTAAATTGCTTCTGAACTGCCTTTCAATGGCCTCCTAGATTGCCTCTCTCACTTCGGATTTCCTCCCAGACCATTATGAAACTGTGAAAGCCTCTAAGCAGCCTCCGTCTGGCTATTTTTCTCTGATATCAAAATTATTGTTTGCGGATCGAGACAGCACGAAGTTTCTGTATTGACGAGTCACAAAGAGACAGCTATCCTGGATGCTGGCTCACTTAGCCCACAATGCACACACCTCACAGACGCCTACTGTGTCAAGGAGACACTCGGCAGTTCTGACTGCAGTCTCCTCTCCACTCTCAGCAGCTTTCTCCGACAGTAATCCATGAGAAAAGAGGACGCTTTTGGCTCACCAGTCCTCTCTTCTCTCCCATGTACTGCCTGATGTGTTCGATATTGTTTTAACATTGGACTCCCGCCTTATTGACATGCAAAACACATTAGAATATCAATGGCTGTTACTTTTTGACAGACGGTCTAGCGCATTAATTTTAGCAACAGGTGGCAAAGTAAATATTTTGCTTTAAGCAAAGAAAATGTCGGCATGTAAATTGGTCCTCGTCGCAAGATGGTGACTGGCGTCATCACTCCCAGCAACTTTGAAGGATCCTACAGTTCCGGGCACAGCAGGTTATGTGTCGACGCATCGACGGAACTTTGAAGAAACTTTGCCGGACGTCTCAACATCGTCTGGGATTGACAGAGTTTGAAGCAGCGAGATGAAAGTCCAACAACTAACAGAACGGAAGGGAAAACACCAATTAGGCCCTACGATGCTTCCTCCCCTTGCCTAGCTTAAGAGAAGTGTTTAACCCGCGCACCGACGGGGGGGGCGGATATCCGCCCCCCCCCCTGAGGTTTTTCGCGAATAGCGGGAAAAACCGCGGCGCGTAGCGCCGCGAAATTTGGTATGACTATTCCCTCATCAATTTTACACATGGTGTGCAGGTTTGAACCTCCTACCTTTTAAGGTCAGGTCACCAGGTCACTTTGAATGACCCAACCTCAAGTCACTTTTTTGCAACTTTGTCACCGTGCCAGAGCTACAGTAGATGTCGGAGGCCTTTGAAAGTCGCAGGATATTATAAGGTCATTAGTAGCTACAATTTGTATATCTCGGAATTTTGATATCGGTGACCTAAGGTCAGGTCAATTTCGCGACCTCCCCATTATAATTAGTCAATGCAATGGGGGAAAAATCAACTCCCTGTTTTTACCACTAAAACGGGTCGGAATGGCCCCATATACCATACATGACTTCATATACGATCAACCTTCACTACCTTGAGGTCTGTTTTGCTGTTGGGCAGCTGTGAGGTCATGTGACGTCATCAAAGGTCACCAAAGGTTTTTGGCCAATAACTCCGTACAGGAACAAGATACAGACGCGTGGATGGTCTCATTGTGTTCAGCTCGTCAAGACGCATCGAATGATATGCATGATGACCTCGAGGTCACGTGACCTGAGGTCAACCTTTGACCTTGACCTTTCGAGGTCAACATATATATCATTCGATGCGGATTGACGAGAGGATCACGATGATGCCCTTAGTTTGTTCCTATCTTGACTAATTCGAAAGTTATTCGAGAAAAACTCTCTCCATATCTAGCGCCGCCATTTTGACTTTTTCGACCCCTGTGACGTCATCTTTGACCTGACCTGAAAATGACCTTAGTAAAAATTGTAGATCTTGACCGTGCGTATCCGATGCCGTTTACTGCTTGTCGCTATCTTGCTTCGTTCTCGAGATCTCAGGGGGGCGGTCATCCGCCCCCCCCCCCCCGTCGGTGCGAAGTTGGCGCAGACCCCCGTCGGTGCGCGGGTTAACTTTTTGGAACAGCATCTTCTGTCGATTGACATTGCTAAAATGTTGTTAAAGGCATGTCCTCTACTAAAAGAGGTATGTCGTAAATGTCATATACTGATGTCATAAATGTCATACACTATGACATTGTCATGCACTAAATGTTTGAAGTCATAGGCACTATCCCGGTCATTCCGAAGGTGCCGCACACTATGTCCGCCCTAATGGTGACCCGAGTTTACCGACGATAGCTCTACGACACCCAGAGTTAGGTTAGGGCACTCGTCAACGGATACGGTTAATTTCCGCTGCCGCTCTGGCTGCCATGCCAGAAACGCGGCGGTCTGACGTGCAATCACGTCTGAAGCGCTGCGCTGCACGCTCCTCTGTTTACCAGAACCGCTCATATGGCCTGACGGACAGGTGTCAGAATATCTACCACCGTCCGCGACCATCTTATGCGCTATTCAATCTACCAAGTACCAACGTCTACTGTTACTAGAGAGTTGAAAAGCTCAGTGTTGGTTTTCTCAGAAGGTAAATATGCAAATGTGTAGGTCTGATTTCTACGCGAGGTTTACTGACGCGAGCACTGGAGCATCATCAGGGACTTGATCCCCACGTGAGACCTGACCGAGTGCCTGATGATAATTACGGAACGATAATATCCGGGATGTTGTGAAGCGCCCCCACGCCATTGATTCCACACCAGCGCGCACCGCAGCAATTAAGCCAGAAAATGAGATGTTCGGCGCGGCAGTTAGTTTGAAGTCGCTCGGCAGAGCAGGCCACTCTGAGATTCGCCGCTAGATAAGCCAATCTGCTGAGGAGCAGCCCGGCCGACTGATCGAAGACCAATTGGCTGTCTTCCGAATTCCTGGTAAATAAATATCACCTTCAAATTCGGGGCTGACGGAAATGTTTTCTTTGCGTTCCTTTACGTCCACAAAGCCTGGCTACATCGTTCCAGTCCTTCAGCGCACTCTACGAGAATCATTTTTTGTGTTCTTTTGTAATGTTCATACATTGGATCGTCTGAGTTCATGGAGCACCTATCTACTGAAGATGAATCGATTATCATTGAATGACTTCATTTACTTGTCATGCATGGCCAATGTAAACTTGACTGATGTATGCTAATATGATTACGGTAAAACGCTCCTCACAAGTGTTGCGTTGCCTTTTCGTCGGGCCGGGTCGGGTACTCACGGTAGAGTGTGAAGGCGCCCTCAGTCTGGCCGACCTCGTTCTTGCTGACGCAGTAGTATTTTCCGTAGTCGTGGTCGCCGATCTCCCGAATGTGCAGCTCCGATATCACCTGCGGCCGAATCACAGTCGGTCAGGCAAAATATGGATTCGGTTGGTATGGGTTCCGGTCAGCGTGAGTCAGAGGTTCTCATCACAGAGTCAAAGAAGTTGGGTCAGTTTCCGTCCGGTGTGTTCAATTTGTTCTGTTCTGGTAGTTTTCGGTCGTGACATGTCTAATGGCGTCTCGGTGAAGTCAGCCTAGATAAGTTCGGGTCCAACTATTTGGGTTTGTCACGGAAAACGTACAGCATGCCAATGAAAAGTTTCAACAGGGCGGCGAAAGTTTTCCTAGTTGCCGACATTGCCAGTGCTATTTCCCACCCCGGCTGTGCCGTGCTCCCAACACAGGCCTTCATGTTTGCTGGGCCTAGGCAAAGCCAAGATTCCTACATTCGCTAATACAAGAGAGAAAGAGAGAGAGAGAGAGAGAGAGAGAGAGAGAGAGAGAGAGAGAGAGAGAGAGAGAGAGAGAGAGAGAGAGAGAGAGAGAGAGAGAGAGAGAGAGAGAAAGAGAGAGAGAAAAAAGAGAGAGAGAGGGAGAGAGAGAGAGAGAGAGAGAGAGAGAGAGAGAGAGAGAGAGAGAGAGAGAGAGAGAGAGAGAGAGAGAGAGAGAGAGAGAGAGAGAGAGAGAGAGAGAGAGAGAGAGAGAGAGAGAGAGAGAGAGAGAGAGAGAGAGAGAGAGAGAGAGAGAGAGAGAGAGAGAGAGAGAGAGAGAGAGAGAGAGAGAGAGAGAGAGAGAGAGAGAGAGAGACTCCCGAGCACCGAGCTATTGGGCCGAATTGGAACAGCCAACCCTAATCCCCCGATAACAAGATAATTTAATACGTCACTTGTGATGAGATTGGATGTGTTGTTGGGGAAAAGGATTAGCCGGGTAAAAGCTGGTGTAAAACACAAACGAAATGCTTTGGTGCGCAGCCGAATGTTGTCCTCAGTCAGGTAAAGCAGGGTATATTGAGTGAAGGGTAGGACGAACTTTGGTAGGAATTTCTAGTATAACTACTAGAAAACCTACTATATGTGGTCGGGACTAGCAAAAAGTTAGTTCAATCTAGAATATGGTAGCGCTTATGGTTGGCAGTCGTGACGCGCACGTGACAATCATTTCTTAAATTTCTTAAATAACAGGTTTTAAGGGCCGATTAGTGGGCAGATACATTCAATTAGCTATTAATAATTGATTATGCAAACATTCAAGAATCTACATCATTTAATTCTAGCCAAAATCACGCGGCGTTCCCAGGATTCGAACTCACAACCCTCTGATCTATAGCCCGATACGCTACCGACTGCGCTACCGAGGACCGGAAACCGACGATCGGAGAGGCGGATCGCGGGTGCTGGCGTGCAGAGAAATCTTTACCCTGTACGCCGTAGAAGATCGGCTGGGTTTCGTGAAAAATGGTAGAGGAATTGTCGAAAGAAAATTCATCGATCTATCATTTGAGACTAAGAACCATTGATTCCTCCAAAGGTTGACCGAGATATCGCTCGCCGAAAACAGGCCATTTAACATGTAAACCCTATGGGCTGGTAGGAAATGTACGCCGTGGAGCAGCAGTGCTACCAACTAACTTCGGCGGGGGCCGAGGTAAAGCGTCTTTGAAGAGAAACCTAGGGTCAGGATTCAAGCAGCGCAGAAAAGTAGCCCACGCCAGACATGGCTGGGGGATTTGACATTAAACCGAAATCCTGTTCAAACTGTTCAATTGAATTTTCATGAGCTCAGAACTATGCTCTGTGCCTGAAACTTGTCATGTTTGACGTGCATCGTCAATTATAGTACACGGATTACGGAACCTCTGCTGAAAACCATAATCTGCACATATACTTCACACACAATTCGCAGAAATATTCATAAGGGCTGTCATTCCTCCAGCCAGCCAAAACGCACAGACAGGTGCTATAATGGATTCATAAAGACATCAATTTCACGACTGAATGAGTTGGCGTATGACAGACTCGCGTCAAAGATCTCAATGGAAGCCTTATTGAAAGTAATGTAACGAGCATCCGCCTCCGCACCTGTTGCTATAGTTCGTTTTTTTTTTTCAAAAGGACGCTGGCTCAAAGTTCAATATCGAAGCTCTCACGTGAGTTTTGGCAGGTTCAGTGTCATGGCCAAGAATTTCTTACCGAAAAATAATCGATTTCAAATTGTGCACGGTAAGTAGCTGGAAATTGTTTCTTAAAAATGAGCATACTATGATGACGTCACTGGTGGCAGCAGGCACCCAAATGTCCGTGCAATGAGACATTTGGGTACAGCTACAGCTACTGATAAAAGTTTTAAATGAAGTGAGTAAGAAGTGTGGTCTAGATATAAACAAAGACAAAAGTGCTGTATTGATATTTAACTGTAAAGAACAGCCGGAGGAAGTAGAAGGAATACCCACGGCAGACAAGTTGAAGTATCTTGGTGTGAAGATCGGAAATCAGAGGAATATGTTCAAAGAGCAGAAAAGGCAGATGATACAAAAAGCTCAAAGAATGGCAAATATGACGTATGGGGTGGTCGCAAGAAGTTGCAACAAACTGCTGATAGGGAAAACCTTCTGGAAGAGCCTTGCTCTGCCATCCATATTATATGGTGTCAATATATTCCACGTAACAGAAGAAGAGGTCAAGAAGCTGGAAGTTATAGAAAACGGAGTATATCGGCAGATACTTGGTGCACCGAAATACACAGCCAACTGTGCCCTCCGAGGTGAAATTGGAGCTTCGGCGATGAAAACAAGAGTAATCAAAGGACATCTACAGTATGTTAGAAGCACTCTACAAGGAAATAACCAACTATTGAAGGAAGTGATAGAAACTCAATTAGAAGAAAAGGGTACGAAATGGGCGAGGATGATTATCACACACTTAGAAACCCTAAATCTAAACCAAGGCGACCTTAGAAACATGAAGAAAGAAGAACTAAATAAGAAGATGATTAGTTGGGACGATGAAAGATGGAAAGAGGAAGTAGAGACTAAAACAAGTTTGAAGGTATACAAGAGATGGAAGCTGAAGATAAAAGAGGATGATGTTTATGACAACACCCCGCAATCAAGAATCCTCTTTCAAGCGAGGACGGATACTCTCCCTCTGAACGCAAGGAAGAAGTTTACAAAAGAAAGAACGAACTGTGCCTTGTGTGAAGCGGAAAATGAAGATATTAATCATTTCTTGCTAGAATGTCCAATATTAAATGAAGTTAGGGTGAATCATCGTGAATTACAACAGCCATACTTGGAAGACAAAGAAGAAGTTATAATGAGATTTCTATTTGATAAGGAAAGAAGGAATATGGAAGAAAAGAAACAGATTTTGTACAGCATGTGGACCCTAAGAACTAAAAGGCAAAAAGAGCTCAATACTTGTTAAGCACCCGTAATGACATGATGTGGAGATGGAATTAAATTGATGAAATACTAGGACTTACTCCACAAGGAGATCGAATGGGTCGGAGCGCTTTCAATATGTATTATACATATCGTCGTCAGCGAATCAATAACGGGTCGAATCGAGTCGGGTATCGAAGAGGTTCGGGAGCTGCGCGGCAGAGCGATCACATACTATTCGAATTATGCATTAAAGAGAATAAAAAACACGTGAGAACAATCATGATACACTAGCTGCTAAAATGAATTAAAATGGGGTGCTAAAATGCATAAATGGCACGTATAAAAATACAATAAAGGGGGGGGGGAAACAGGATACCTATGGTGATAAAGACTGAGTAGAAAAGACTATACAAAAATGAGTGCAAAAACTGTAAAAGGACGAGTACAAATATAAATACATACAAAGGCCGAACTAGACGTAAACACTACTGACAAAAACGGCGGATTATCGGCAGCCAGCGGTCATGCAGCAGGGCACCCGAGTTCCTGTTCACGTTTGCGTCATTCGGCGACACCAGGACGGCTTCACGCCGACCAACAGTCCGAATATAGGCCGATTCCAGGAGAAGTCGCATCTGGTGATGACTGGCTCGATTCAAGATCTTGATGGCATCGAAAGCAGGTGAGCAGTCTCTATGGGTACTGAAGGCCGATGTATTGGCTCTCGAGCGGACTGCTCCAGTCCAGCTCTCCCGGTGTTCTCGGAGTCTCGTGCCCAGCTCACGATCTGTCTCGCCGATATAGACCATTGGGTCACCGTCCACTTGGCAGGAGCACTCGATCCGATAGATGACGTTGCTCTGTTGTAGCTTAGGCAGATGGTGCTTAGCCTTGCTGCAGAGCAGCGAGCCGATGGTGACTGAAGGCTTGGAGACGAGCTGGATCCCGATCTTGCTGGCCTCCCGTTTGAGTTGGTAGAACAGGGGGCAGGCAAACGGAACAGAGACTCGGACAGGCGCCGGGTGTGAGTTCGCGCAAGGGCCCTACCAGCGCCACCTAGCGCGAACTCACACCCGGCGCCTGTCCGAGTCTCTGTTCCGTTTGCCGGCCCCCTGTTCTACCAACTCAAACGGGAGGCCAGCAAGATCGGGATCCAGCTCGTCTCCAAGCCTTCAGTCACCATCGGCTCGCTGCTCTGCAGCAAGGCTAAGCACCATCTGCCTAAGCTACAACAGAGCAACGTCATCTATCGGATCGAGTGCTCCTGCCAAGTGGACGGTGACCCAATGGTCTATATCGGCGAGACAGATCGTGAGCTGGGCACGAGACTCCGAGAACACCGGGAGAGCTGGACTGGAGCAGTCCGCTCGAGAGCCAATACATCGGCCTTCAGTACCCATAGAGACTGCTCACCTGCTTTCGATGCCATCAAGATCTTGAATCGAGCCAGTCATCACCAGATGCGACTTCTCCTGGAATCGGCCTATATTCGGACTGTTGGTCGGCGTGAAGCCGTCCTGGTGTCGCCGAATGACGCAAACGTGAACAGGAACTCGGGTGCCCTGCTGCATGACCGCTGGCTGCCGATAATCCGCCGTTTTTGTCAGTAGTGTTTACGTCTAGTTCGGCCTTTGTATGTATTTATATTTGTACTCGTCCTTTTACAGTTTTTGCACTCATTTTTGTATAGTCTTTTCTACTCAGTCTTTATCACCATAGGTATCCTGTTTCCCCCCCCCTTTATTGTATTTTTATACGTGCCATTTATGCATTTTAGCACCCCATTTTAATTCATTTTAGCAGCTAGTGTATCATGATTGTTCTCACGTGTTTTTTATTCTCTTTAATGCATAATTCGAATAGTATGTGATCGCTCTGCCGCGCAGCTCCCGAACCTCTTCGATACCCGACTCGATTCGACCCGTTATTGATTCGCTGACGACGATATGTATAATACATATTGAAAGCGCTCCGACCCATTCGATCTCCTTGTGGAGTAAGTCCTAGTATTTCATCAATGTTAAGCACCCCGTACCAACTCATAGCGCGATAGTTTAAGTTAAAGTTTAAAAAGAAAAGGAGGAGCCGTTGCAAAGGCAATTCCTCAAAACCTTCAAGTTCAAGTTCAAGAGACAAGTGTCAACAAATTTGGGTGAAGCTTAGTTTTTCACTGTTGCCGTGCTTATAATCGAGTAAGCAGTTCCGTCCATGATAGTTATACGTTACATTGCAATACATGTTCGACAGCATGACGTCACCACTGTTCTCCTATCTGGTTCCAAAACGCGCATATGGAAATTATCGGAAAGAAATCACATGTTAAAATTAGTCGACGTTCGATTTTCTCACGGTCGTCAAGTTAGATGTAAGTGAAACCTAATCTATAATCTAAGATTCGGAATCAGGTGAGCCCCTACGATTTGGACCAAACTTGGTCAGTAGATAGTACGTAACGTCCTGATTACGATGCACCCAAAATCTAAGCTCGGCCCGCCATATTTACGAAGTTACGGATGTTTGAATTTCAAGGTCATTCGGGAGAGCCCCTACGATTTCCGTCAAAATTTGTGTACGGACACTCTAGATGCTCCTCATTACGAATATCACAAAATTTAAGCTCGGCCCGCCATATTTACGAAGTTACGGAGGTTTGAATTTCAAGGTCATTTGGGTGAGCCCCTGCGATTTCCGTCAAAATTGGTATACGGACATATTACATCCTGCTCATTACAAATATCATAAAAGTTAAGCTCGGCCCGCCATATTTTTCAAGTTACGGAGTCACAAAGTTACGGAATTTCAAGGTCATTCGGAGAGCCCCTCCGATTTTCGTCAAAATTTGTATACGGACACATTACATGCTCCTCATTACGAATATCGTAAAAGCTAAGCTCGGCCCGCACTTTTTCAAAAGTTACTGACGTTTGAAACTCAATGAAATTCAAACATCTCTAACTTTTGAAAAAGTGCGGGCCGAGCTTAGCTTTTACGATATTCGTAATGAGGAGCATGTAATGTGTCCACATACAAATTTTGACGAAAATCGGAGGGGCTCACCCAATGACCTTGAAATTCCGTAACTTTGTGACTCCGTAACTTCGTAAATATGGCGGGCCGAGCTTAAATTTTGTGATATTCGTAATGGGGAGAATCTAGAGTGTCCGTACATAAATTTTGACGGAAATCGTAGGGGCTCTCCCGAATGACCTTGAAATTGAAACATCCGTAACTTCGTAAATATGGCGGGCCGAGCTTAAATTTTGTGATATTCGTAATGAGGAGCACCTAGAGTGTCCGTTCACAAATTTTGACGGAAATCGTAGGGGCTCTCCCGAATGACCTTGAAATTGAAACATCCGTAACTTCGTAAATATGGCGGGCCGAGCTTAGATTTTGGGTGCATCGTAATCAGAACGTTACGTACTATCCATTGACCAAGTTTGGTCCAAATCGTAGGGGCTCGCCTGATTCCGAATCTTAGATTATAGATTAGGATTCACTTACATCTAACTTGACGACCGTGATTTTCTCAGGTTCAGTTTTTGCTCGTTTTGCTCGCTAAAACACGTGCTTGTTCGAAAAACATACTTGGAGCCAGCGTCCTTTTGAAAAAAACGAACTATAACAGTATGTATCTTGTGTCGCCTCGCCACTCACATGTTGAGGAAGGACAGCCGATACAGCGTCTGTCATCAACGCCTGCCTTTTCATCATGCACTAGAGTTGGTCGATGGCCGATGCACAAAGTGCTATGACTTTTGCCTGCGCTTGAGTCCATTTGAATTAGAATTACTAGTTACCCGTTAACTTTGATTGTACATAATCTATAATACTTCCGGCATAAGAGATGAAGCAATTTCATAATCTAATTAACCTAATGTTGAACATCCGAAAATGTTTACCTACGATTCCTTGGGAAAACATTTGGTGATGCTGCCGGACAAGTTAACCCACCTCTCGCGGCGAGCCGGGTACCTCGGCCTGTCCGGTGATGTATTTGGTGCTGTTCTCCAGCACTTTGCCGTTGAAGCGCCAGTAGTTGAGCGGCGCAGGAGACGCGTCCACCCGGCACTCGAAGGTGACCGAGTCGCCCCGCTCCTTCACTTGCTGGTTGTTGGTGCACCGGATCAGCGGCGGGTCTGCGGAATATTTCAGTTCTCACCATTTTTTTTTTTTAATCAGGCCTCCTTTCAACGGGATCATATTTTCGCATTTACAGGAGAGCTCCTCCTCCTCCCGGCCATCTTCCCCCACCCCCCAGGCTACGGCTGAAGTGAGAGCCTACCCCACACCTGGTGACACAGCCGGGGACGACGCCCGCGGAACGGGCGGAACCGGGAATCGAACCCGAACCCGGCACCGCCCGCACCGCGGGTCGACGCCTTAACCGACTGCGCCACCAGGGCCGCATTGATTGATTTATCCTGCGGTATTCGAAGTTTTTGTGGCTTAGATATTATCAAACGTATTACCGTCAATGATTATACACACACTACTGCGCGACCGCCGTACATCCGCTTTTCTAAAGAATAAGGAGACTTCATTATCGTATCTGGTATCAATACTCCTCACTCAAGGCTAAAAGCGTCCTCTTTTTAGACCGCTTACGATAGAAGTAGCTCTAAGTTGACGGCCATTACTGGAGCCCGTATCAAGTAGGTATCGACTTGCGAAATGATGCAATTCCCTCGTATGACTGACGTCAGATATTACAAAAATATAAGTACAAAACATAACTAGCAATCAATTAGCCATACCATCCTTACTACAAGCATGCACCATAGCACTGCACTGGACCGTCTAGCCAGCCCTCTGGCCGAATCTCCCGACATTCGACTCTACTCACACATGACGGTGACTTTGAACACCTTGCTGGCATCCGGAGGAATGCCATTGTAGGCGATACACCTGTACAGACCACTCTGCTCCCGATGAATCCGGATCAACTCCAGATTTCGCTCGTCCATGTTGGTGGCTGTCGTACAGGTATCACAATTAGCTTTACAGGCATTGTGAAAGTAGCTCTGGAAACATCTTTCAGTCAGCTTCATTCCTTAAGCCAGGCACAGCTCGATTGTCGTCGAAATCGAGGAGGATCAAATGCGAGGCAGCTCGAGTCATGTCAGGGTGGGATCAATTGAAAGCTGACATGACAGGGCCATGATAGCGTGATTATGTCGCCCGTTGATGGCGCTACTTGGGCCAAGCCCTGCTCATTGGTTTTGGATGGTGTTTTGACAGGAGTTTCTTGGATATTAGCGTATTACGCGGTAGCAATGCCGACTGAAATATGACACATGAAGTTGATTTATTTCCGTCGAATTCATACGGCATTGATCCTACAACCAAATTATGCATCCGACGAGCATCTCGCGCCGTTCAGTTCAGCTCATGAAATCAAATCGCAGTCTCAGTAACACATTTAGCATACACCAACTGCTCGTCAAAATATCCCACTACGATCAATCAAGAACCGTTCTAGGCTCAGCGGCACGACCACTGTACTGCCCCAGACCTCTTCTCCTCCTCTAACCTCTCTCTCCCTCATTCCCTCCCTTTCTCTCGCTCTCCCTCCCTCCTTCCCTCCCTTCATCTCTCTTCTTAATTCTCTTCCTCCCTCATTTCTCTCGTTACCACACGCTCGCCAGCCCTCCCCAGACGCCCAGAACGCACCTTTCCAGGATCCCTTTCGGATGAGACCTCCATCCGGGTTGTCCCAGGTGATGGAGGGCCGAGGCACTCCGGCAGCAGCGCAACGCAGAACCAGGTTGTCTCCCTCACTCACACGGATCAGCTTCGGGCCGTCGCGAAGATTCGCTGGCGATCGCAGGCTACGGCGTCAGCTCATGGGATGGGACATTTGTGGACAATACGTTTTGCTTCTTGGGCAATTATCGGTCACTAGGATGCTTAGACATTTTTTGGACAGCTTTTCTGACGGTATGAATATTTGAAACGAGCTTCTAGCACTGATCTAGGCATGAATAGGCATGTGAATATTTTTGTTCATAAATGTTACCAGATTTACTTGTTCAAGTGTTGGACTCAAATTACCTACAAAATCCAATTGGAGTCCAGGTGGAGTGAAATTGGGGAAAGAACAGCTTGGCCAGCATAAACAAAACCATAATAACATCAGGGCTAGGTAGTATTCTTTTCATTTTGGTTTTATATCGAATTGTCATCCCTCTCTCCAACATTTCAACACGGATCAGAGCTCTACCGTCAGCTTTATTTGCTGCCGGTATCAAATCCTGCTGAAATGAGAAAACCAGGCCAAACATCGTGTGTTGTCCCCCCAGCACCCTCTTTCTGGCTGAAGCCATTACACTGCTTTTGACAGAGGAAATCCTTGATGGAGATTGCAGATCGTGCAATGCTCCTTCGAAGCTGCGAACATTTGCATAAAATGGGCAAAGTAAGGATCCGGGATTACGTGGCAAGCTGCAGCAGAAGAAGCTTTTCTCAGAAGGCTTTGAATTTTCAGCCGCGTTTAACGGGGGTCTTCGCATATGGTTGAAAGTCGCACAGAGGAGATGAAACGAGAGATATTCTCAATCATCAGGACTGTGAGCGCGACCGCATGTGAGACGGTGAGTGGTTAAGGAAGGGATTGAGCAGAGCCCTGTGAGTTTGAAGAAGGATGAAGGAGGGTGGCTCCAGTACTGACGTCGGGCGATCCAGGGCGGGATGAGCAGCGTGCCGGCCGTCGTGTTGACCAGCGTCGTGTTGATGCCGGGGATGCCGTTCTGACCGTCCTTGCCCGCCTCGCCCTTTCGACCTCGCGGGCCCACCAGACCTGGCCACGGTAAAAGGTTAATGAGTGAACAGTAAAAGACTTTTAACAACACGTTATTGTGGATTTTAGTGAAACGTGGATTTTAGCCTTTTTCGTAACACAAAATGAAAACACAACGAATTTGTTTATAATCGCATACCCATTAGACATTCTTCATCTCTATGTATTTGTACTGAGCTCTTCCTCGACATTTCTACACAGATACTCTGAGATCCGGGCGATCTGAAAACCCAAATATCACCACCACCTTCTCTAGCGTCCTACAATAAATCCACTTTTCGTAATGATACTTACCGACTTCTCCTCGTTCCCCTTTGGGACCTGCATCTCCTTTGGCACCTTTCTCGCCTGGAACAGAGGAAACCGAGTGAGTGCCGCTTCGCTGTCGAACCATAATGGCGCAGGAATCCGTAGGGACGCATCCGTCCAAATTTAGACACTGAAGGCTCCATTCGTTTTCATTCACTGACGGGTTCCGGAAATCGACAATGGTGAATCGAATGTATGTAATGACTAGAAGTCTTTTGCTCTTTATCTATCCATGCATTGCACATCATCGATAATATTCATAACTCGATGCCTGTACATCTGTCCCTATGCATCCAGTTATTCTAGAATGTGAGTCAAGTAAAATTTCGAGTTATCTCGCAAAAATGATAATGTGAAGAACTCTTGATCTGGGATTTGGCAATCACCATTTTCGAAACGGGAAATTTACTCAGCTATTTCACAAAAGCGTGGAGGCTACGGTTTTCCTCTTCAATCAGTGATGTCACTCGGCCTGAATTCCCCAAAAGCACTGTGCTGACAGGTTTATTTGAGGCTCGACTATCACTGGAGAGGCCCTTACTCCAGCCGCTGAGTAAATCTGTGACACTCCGGATGGAACTGTCAAGAGCGGCGCCAGCAGACCCACAGCCGCCGGCCAGAAAGTGGTCCCGTGACGACAACTGTCACAAATGTGACGGCCGTGTAATGGTCGTGACGACCGCAGCGGTGGCAACTACATATAGCTGTCGCGATGTCAAGTGTTACGATCATAGCTCTGGCAATGTGAACTGTCACGCTGCTATGAGCTATCGCGAACACAATACTGAGGAGTAAGCTACCCATAAATTTCAAAACTGAATGACGGAATTTAAATGTTAAGCTCAGTGGTGATTCTTCGATAACTGAAGCGTGCCTTTGTGGGGTCCTGGTGGATGCCTTATCCTTATTTATATTTCCCAAGATTATATAAATATGAAGCTTGATAAAATAAAGGTGCATTCATTTATTATGAGAATCTATCACAAGCCGACTCCACATCATGACAGTCTCACTGACCATCGTTTCCGTCACGGCCGGGCAGTCCGTTGATTCCAGGCGTCCCATCCTGTCCTGGAATTCCGTCCACTCCAGGGAATCCGTCCAGACCGTTCCTTCCAGGGATGCCGTCCATACCGGGCTCTCCAGGCAGGCCGTCGCGACCCTCCAGGCCGTCTCTGCCTGTAAGAAGACGTCACAAGCTGCGTCATCACATCATGTATACCATTTATGTTTTAGTCGTTTAGTCTTATAAGTAATAAAGTAGTGTATGCAGTAATGCGCAACAAATAATAATCGATCACGTCGCCCTCCAAATGAGTGTGCTGTGCTGATAGGTTTAAGTCATTGTTGACCAAGGGCAGACCCTTTTGTGACCAACCAATGCAAATCTGCCACCTATTACATGCGGATTAACAACGCCGAGTCGCCTCGAGCCAAAATGCCTGCGTGGTAGGCTGTACCGCAATGCACCCGCGCTCGGCGGAACACTGCCGCTGCGGCCGGCAGGCGGCAGCGGAGCGGACGCGGCAGGCGCTACGACGAGTCCTAAACCCGGCCGCTTACCACTGCCGAGAATACGTGTCGCGTTTATCATGCAAATGGTGGTAATTATTTTCGCGGGCCCCCCCGTTGACCCGGATGGGAGGGCAGCTTAGGACCTCTGTGTAGTGGAATTTCACTAAGATTACAGATCTAAGCCTTGCTTTAATGTTTCAACCATGCATGGGGTGGCGCCTTCCATTTGCACGAATGGCTGTATTATGAAAGGGAAAGCGTTTATCATCGTTGTTGAAAAGCAGCCTATCTGTATTTAGCTATATAGGTAAGTACATATATGCCGCAACTCTTAAATTCCTATGTTGACTGACGACCGCTAAGGTGTGTCTAAGGTGCCAACATCTTTAGTTCACGCTCCGGGCTTCACCTTTTTGTCCCTTGTTGCCAGTGTAGCCGCGAACTCCCTTCAGTCCCGGTGGGCCGATAGGTCCGGGCTCACCCTTCACTCCGGGGAGGCCTGGAAGACCGATCTCGCCTGCAAAAATTAATGACAGTTGAGAAACCCATGATTAGCAGCATGTGAAATGCTAAGGGAAAATAGTAGAGTTCACGATAGTATGGTGCATTCCAGTACAACAATGAGTGAGACAAGGAAAAGCAAACATCATATATTTTGTTAAAACATGTGTTCACAAATATCAAATATTGAAAAATGATTAAGATATTCTGCAAAGACTTTGCCTCGCACAGCTCCTAAAAATATATCATAATAATAAATAGCGTTAGCCATGCACGTAATCACGCACAGGCTTCCTTTCTTCTCTAACCTGATTGACCCAGTTAAATGACTCGTTTAGTGATAGCGGAGCGGTGCATTTACGACGGCTCAGTGGCCTCACCTTTGGGTCCCCTCGGGCCTGGTTCACCAATTTCACCCATTGCGCCCTTCTCTCCAGGCTTGCAGAACCTCTGGGTGCTCAAGCAGAACTTCCTCAGGTCATCCGCCTAAGGAACATCGGGGAAGGCCACCGCATCGTCATCATATGCACGCCTTGGGATGCCCGTGAAGCTAGCGTCAGCAACAGCAACGAATATAGTGATAAAGTCGGGAAATTCGTTGCAGGCAGACACATTCATTTCCTGCAGTTTCATTTAGATGAACAGTGCCTCGCGGCACCATGCAGGCAGTAACAGAATTATGGCCGTCCCACTTCCTTTAGATATGACTGATGAATGTCATAGTGCGATTCACAAGCGCCGCTTAATTGCAGCAGCGAGGCAGCACGGAATCGATAGAAACCGAGTGAACTTAATGTCACGACAGTGAGTTGGGCACTGGTATTCACAGTCCTTTGTTTATGTGTGCATGTCGTCCAGTGTAGAGATTCAAAACTGTTTTGAACGCCACTTAGTACGCTTTATCCTCTATTAGGTATCTAATGCACAGCAAAAAAGAAATAAACATAGACAGATTGTCATTCTGCTTGAGTAAATGATCTCTACCTAGGGAAAATGAAGTATGCCTGGGGAGATGCTTGCATCTTATAAACCGCTGCTCCAGCTGTTAAAGCTGGTTAGCCTTATAATCTGTTCAAGCCGGCGATATCGTCACAACAGCTGCTTAAACTTATAAGGAAGCGTATTGTGGACAGACCACGCAACAACATTGCTCGCACCAACTGGTCACTGGTCACTTAGTCGGCGAACTAACAGGCCAGCCAGCGGACAGGCCTCTCACAGCGATGCAATGTTGGATTCGAGCGAAGAGCTTTTGCTTGTTCACTCGCTGGCAGTGGACATTTGAAGCTGTCACTTTCAGCGTGTTGTTTACTTTGATTGTCGATTTCCGACATCCGACATTTTTCTGATATTTTATGCTCCTCATGCCGTATTCCCTTTGCCGGTTACCTAAGATATTGGCATTGGGTATCCATCCTAAATTTGAAGATCTGTGCTGCAAACAAATGAACAGTGAACACCACTGAAGAAAATTTATGACAGTGCTTTTATACTGAGGTCATGGCACGGTTAGTCGTCCCATAATACCCGTTAAATAAAACGTATGCCGTATAATCCGAAGTTCATTAATATGTATTTGCGGTTAGTTGATATACGTTCCATGGCTCTATTGTTGCCTGCTGGTAGCGGCCGGGCATCCGGCAGCAGATTTCAGGCTGGCGCCAATCTTTTAGCGCCAATGTCAGTAGCGGTCACATTCCATTCAGCCATGGGACAAAGACCGTCACAGTATGGGCTACAGAAGACTGTCACCGCCTCATGGAACAATAGAGCCGTTATGGAAGACTTGGCGACCGTCCTTTGGGAGCGCGCGAGCGAGGGAGCATCCTTTGTACTTAATGCCCTAATATCGACAGTCTAATATTGCAAAGGTCTGATGTATAAGATAATTTCGCTAAATAATATACAATTAATCTTATTAGAACTTGCAAAAATACAATGATATGTATCTGGAAAACCATAATCAAGCTTGTATTATTTACCCATCGTGCTGAGCATTTGCACATCACGGTGGATGTCACTCGACACCGATCGACCAGCAGGGGGTATAGTGGTTGGCCGACGTTTGATAGCTGGTTCGTACACAGCGTGAGGGTTTTACGGCGAGTCCTGTCCGGCCCATCTGGCACCGCACTCGGCTGCACACCGAACCCATGAAGGGCGGACGTGCGACCAGCTGCAAATGCAAGGGCGTATAATAACTGTGCCGAAAGAGCCATGGCTGTTCCTATTCATTTACAGAAGGTAAATGCAAAGCAGATGGATGAATAAAACACATGTGCTTTGTAAGCAAACATGCAGGTTCTTTGCTGGGAATATACAGATATACCAGTTATGAGCATGTCCTCTATATGCGTATAAACACGGCAGACCACAGACCTACTCATTGCTTACGAGCTTACGGACAGCAGACCGAGCCAATTCTGCCCTGGGGTTTGGTAATGGTATTAGCACCTGGCGCCATGCAGCGCAGGGGCACTGGGCATTAGGCAATAACGTTAGCTGCTCTCCAGTAGATGGAGGGGTACGCTACATTTATCAGACGGCATGCATAGCTGAAACTCCCACAAAGAAAAGAGGTGAGGCAATCGACCAGCTGGTGCAATCCCGAGTTCCGACATCATGCAGCAATTCGCTCATCTCGATGCCATTGTTCACCAAACGCCAATCAGCATACATTATCATCAGCTGGCTTTTACGAAGGCCAGTAAATCGCTTGACACCTTTAGTCGTTTTTATCATTCTGGAACTCATACCATTCATACGTGGAAAAACCGTCTGTCCGTCCGTCTGTCCTTTGTCGAACCGACTGGTAGATGGACAGACGGACAGACCGACAGAAAACTAGTGGATAGGCAAGTGCTGAATTCGCATCTCTTGTGCTCAAAGTTACTCATGTTCAACAAAGACAGTTCCGCTGAATTAAATATGTTCCGCGTTTTCATCTGCGTTGCTCGTGACTAGGATGACGGGGCCATCTGTTCGAGCGACAGTTTGGCAACGCTGGGGACCACCGTATAGTACGACGGTGATGATTTGGCAGCACTGGTGATCGCATGACGTGACAGAATTCGTCAACTGGACAGATGTGTAAGCTCAGTGTGACACCGCGGACCACCACGGGAAAAGCAGCACAACACCGACAAATGCAGGCTTCATATGCTTGATGATTCGACAAAAAGAAGATGTAGGTAGGTAATTCGTTTGGAAGATTTGCGAGGTTCGAGGAAAAAGGAGAAGGCTGAGCTTTATACGCTCGAGCATTCGACAGAAAGGCAAGCTGTAAAAGGACAGACGGACGGACCGAGCCAGAGGATGTACTGACGGATAGGCTGACATTGGACGGACGGACGGACGGACGGAAAGACAGACGGGCGGACGAACAGACGGACGGACGGACGGACGGACGGACGGACAGAGGGACAGAGGGATGGACAGACAGGCGGACAGAAAGGCAGGCGGACAGACGGACGGACGGAAGGACGAACGGACGGACGGACGGACAGACGAACAGAGGGATGGACAGACAGGCGGACAGACGGGCAGGCGAACATACGGATGTACCAAGAACAGACGGAGAGGCAGACGCCAGACGGACAAGAGACAGACGGACGGGGGACAGACAGAGTCGAAACACGGACTGGCCATGGTAGACGGACATTGAACAGACGGAAAAACGGACGAGCGAGCGGATTGAAGGACGGACAGACAGAAGAACGGACGGACGGATGGAAGGATGGACTGACGGAGGGACAGACGGGCAGACGGGCAAACGGACGGAATTAAATACGGACAGGCGGATATACGGAAACGGACGGAGGGACAGGCGGACGGACGGACAGGCGCCCATACGGCCAAACGTACAGACGGCGGACGAACAGGCGGCAGACGGACGGACATACGGTAGACGAAAGAACAGACGGAAGACAGAGGGACAGAGTAGGAGAATGCCACGGACCGACACTGAACGGACCGAAAATGGACGGACGAACGGATGAAGAAACAGACGTATGGACGGACAGACGGACAGGTAGATGGGCGGACGGATGGACGGACGGACGGACAGACGGTTGGATTGATAGACGGACGCATATGAAGTGATTGATGAACGGGGCATATGGAGAGACGGATGGAAGGACAGACGGGGCGAATAGACGAATAGGCGCACGAAAAGGCAGGCAGACGGGAATATGGACGCACGGACGGATGGATGGACTGAGACGGACTGATCGACGGTGGGACGGAAGGACGGACTGACGTGCAGATGAACAGACAGACGGACGGTTAGACAGACGGACGTATGGACGCATGACGAGATGGACGGGAGGGCAGACGGACGGACAGATACTACCAATGGGTAGACAGTCGAGAATATGGACGGGACGACGGATGGATGGACTCATACTAACGGACAGACGGGTCCAAACAAATGCAGTCAAGGATCAAGAACACGGCTTTGGAGGCGATACTTATAGCCTAGAAAGTACCGAAATATTCTGCGAAGGCGTTTCGTAACGCCGACTCCAATTACGCCCAATATCAGCCGTCAAGCGGATGTGAACCCGAGTGCAACGTACCGGTATCCGCGAGTAGGACGGGATCCAGTCCAGTGGTGCCTCGTCCTCGGCAATGCCACCGCTGCCGCTGCCCTCGTCCAGCCCATCACGGCGAGTCGTCTTCGTATGGGGTATCAACTCCCCGGAGGCCAGGCTGGTGCCCGGTCCGAGCCCCGAGTAGGTCTGCTCACTCTCAGCGGCCTGACGGCGGCCGCGGCGACGCTGTGCCGCGGGGGCAGACACGGGCGGAGGGGTCAGCAGCTCACCGCCAGAGAACTCGGCATGTCGGCCGTGCGATGCCTGCGTCGCCTTCACGAGGAGTTCAGTCACATGGCTGACCGCCTGTCGCTCGGCGCGGCTCGCCCGCTCGGCACACACTCGATCGGCATCGGTGAGGCCGTGCCGCAACAGGAGAAACCCAGCGAGCTGCGCGGCCGTCAGCACTGCCACCAACACATACAGCAGCGCCACGTGCGGGAAGCGCCAGCCGCTCTTGGCCGCCGGCTGCTCCATGGCGGACCGAGCAGCGCCCGCCGCCGCCGACGACTGAGCGCCGTCGACGCGTCGGAACCGACGGCCGACGGACGGAGCGACGCGTCGGCAGCGCGCCAACGCAGGAAATAGCCGCCGGTTTTGTAGAGCGTGCGCCGCGGCACGGGGCCGGCGCGGACACACACACACACACCTGATAGCTGGTTCATCTTGTTCATCAACAGTACGACTGTTTTACTGACAAGGGATGTCAGCGGGTCAGGATGTGCACAGTGCACACGATCGGCACACTCGTATAAGGGCTGCCAGACGTGTTTGAGACTGACCGAAGCGGTATGGGTCCCGGTGAACAGTCATTAACCGGTGTCAATTTTTTACACGTGATATCCAATTGCTTGTCTATCGGTTGTGGTCTCGTCAACTTGAGCGCCACAAGCGACGGCATTTTTTTAGACGGTTGTGGTATCCAAACCCTCTAGCGCATTGTTTGTCATTCGAAGAGAGAGAGAGAGAGAGAGAGAGAGAGAGAGAGAGAGAGAGAGAGAGAGAGAGAGAGAGAGAGAGAGAGAGAGAGAGACGCACCCGCTTGCTCGAGTCGCTAAGGCGCTGGATCAAAGACGTTCAAAGATGAACTCAAAACTGTTTGAGACACTTGAATGATAGTGTTTCAGAATGCAAACAGTGGAATATTGCTTCATGTCATTTTTTTTTCGTTCAGCGCATTTCGAGAACATATATGGTTCAGCGCATTTCATAGCAACATCAACCGCAATTGACATTGGCCAAAGCCGCATTTCTTTATCATTATCTCGCCCTTGAAAGCCAAGACTATGATGCATACTTACATGCATGCCTCGGGTCTATCAACAGCTCACCTGGTCACCGGGTCGTCCTACGCCCAAACCCTCTTTGCGTGGAGCCGGTTCGTGTTACAGGCCACAGCGTTGTGTGGACGAGTTCGCGGATATTTGAAATGAAACTCTGTGGCGAAGTGTGCCGTCACGGATAACCGAATGGTATCAGATGACGGAGCATTGACAGCCAGTCCCCACAGTCGTCTCATTCGCCCTCGTTTTGATCCATCATGGAGCGCGAGGGAGGTTTTAAATGCGTAGCGAGACGACTCACGTAACACAAACATTGCCCTCCGATCAATAGGTACGAATGAATTGAGAGGCAAGTTGCGGAAACTGTGTTCAACCAACTGACAGAATATCTCGGGGAACTGCGTGGCTCATGTGAGCGCCATGGAAGCTCGAGGTAAGGGTCATGTCATATGAGTTTCAGATGGGTCGTAACAAGTAACACAAAATGCAGCTACCGGCAAACCGTAGTATGACAAATCGATGTACACTGTACAGCCCTCTGCAGACTGCGTGGTAGGTATTCTTTTTTCGACAAAACCGAGAATAACGCGAATACTATGCTATCGGGCACTCGGAAATCGTAACAGCAAGATGCGCGAGACTTCGCAGCTCAGCTTGGCATTATCACCGTATGCATTTTCCATCCAGTTTGACAACAAAACCCAAAAGTTTATATTTGCCCCCAAAACGAATTTTTACATTTTGTTGCCACACAAGGCGTATGCTTTGTTTATTGATAGGCCCTATCGAAGGAGTGGAGCATGGCGCATCTATTTGCAGTGAGTTTCGACCGACTGATAACATGTCTTTTGAATTATTATCAGTTTTGTCGGAAAAAGAAAACCTACCACGCAGTCTGCTGAGGGCTGTACATTGTACCTACATAGGCTGCCGCTGCACCCATTCGGGGCTACATGCCTCACATTTTTTGTCCTCACTTTCATGTCACTTTCGCATCATGATGTTGCAAAATAATGAAGACTGCCATAATTCGATAATCACGAAGCAGAATCTTTCGCTCGATGTGAAGTGACACTGGACACATGTATGGGTGGCTTAGCATCGTTAGAAATGCATCAGTCGATCGATTATAATGCTGCTGCAGGGACGCCTATGGAGTGCCTCAGTTTGAGCACGGCGGACATTCATTTATCTTGGCATCGACAAAAGCCGGGAAACAGGCGATTATACCACGCTATGTATTTTTCAACACAATATCGTATGACATCGATGCTAGTGGAAAACTAAGATGTCGTCGCATTAAGTACAATAAATAATAACATATAACCAGCTCTGCATCTGATTGGTTGACATAAGAGAACTGCGTACAGTACACAACATCGGCCACTAATTTCACAACATGAATCAACATACCGCGGTGATCTATGTTCTACACGTAATACTGTCCTGGAGCTAGCCGTCAAAATAAATAAATACAAGACTACGGCATTATATATCTCTGTTCTGACTGCCCACAATTCGGATCCACCGGCGGTTTTTCGGAGCGTTCACGCTCGGCGCGGCCCGGGGCCGGCTCACGCTCTGCACCGCTCGCTGTTCGCTCCAGGGCGGCGGCCGTCAGCTGATTACGCGTCTCTTCCACAGGTTGGCAGCAGGCCGGGGTGGCGGGCGCCAGCGGCCACCCACGCCCCTCCCCGACCTGCGACACCGGGGTCATTTACACCCCCCCCCCCCCCACAAACGGCCCCAGCTACAGAGGAGACAGAGAGCGGGCGGCCCGCGGACAGAGTGAGGAGGCTGAGGCAGAGTGGCGGAGAGACCCCGGACGGACAGACGTAGGCGGGCCGCGCGGACCCGCCTGGAAAGAGAGAGCGCGGACGGCCAGACTGACAGACTGCTCACAACTGTGACTGTGAGTTGGGTTTTTAGGCGGGCGCTGCAGCTCAGTAGGCTTTCAAGCGTCCCAGGCTATCATGTAGGCTACCTGTGACTGTGAGCACGTGCAGAACAACACGTGTGGTGGAAGAGAAACAGCGAGATTTCTGTGCGGGAAAGAAGACGGTTCACTGACACACCAACAACACTACTGCGCCACTGATCGCCACCGACGCGCCTAGTTCGTCGCCATTTGCGCCAACAAGCCATCCACGACCGGCGACTTGCAGGCCTTCAGCCTCCCCAACATTGTCATCCACATTAACACAGATCCATCAATACAGATCACGTGCAAAGGGTGCTCTGAACACCTCACACATGGACGTGATTTTTGGCCACACGGCACAGCGTTTCATCACCAATCGACGCATATATGTATAACCAACACAATTTGCCTCTTCTGTCATCTATAAAACAATAATCTATGGGTAAGGCATGTTGCTAGCGGAACCCACGCACGGCCCAGCTGCGATTCTACGTCACGTCAGCGCGCGCTCCCTGCCGTCGTAAAGTGTGCGTGTGGCGCGGGACCAATACTGAGAGGTGCGCAGCTCACTCGCTCGCTCTCTCGCTCAGCACACACCCTCCTCCCACACACACGGCGCGCCGGACACCCCAGTTGAGCTGCCACCGCGTGGCGGGCGTCGCCCTTCGCCGGTCACCGGTCGCGCCCCGGTGCGCGGCGTCAGATCACAGAGAGAAGCGGGGCGCCGCGGCCAGCGCGTTCACACACCATGTACGGCCGTGTGCTCGTCGTCACCCAGCAGCGCCGAGTCGCAGGAGTCGATGGATCCGCGGGGAGCCAGCGGCTCGTCACCGCAGGCTAGCCGCTCCTCCTCCTCGATAGCTTCGTCTACCTCCACTTCACGGTAACCTGAGGAAGGTGAGGGGAGTTACAAGGAGTTCACATCCTCACAGTACCCTGTGGGAAGAAAGGAAGGAGAGTCTAAGGATAGAGAGGGCGCAAGGAGGGCATCCGCAATTACCTACATCAGGATATTCTAGGACTGGGTATACGGAAGTGATCAAGGCGATGAGGTGCAGCGTTGGCGGAGAGGGTGAAAACGGCAGCGGCTCATCACCGGCACAAACGTGACCAAAATGTCAGCTTCTAAATGCCACGGCTGCTGGCGATGATGATGTCTGATATTTATATCAAAAGTGGCGCGCTGGGCCACCCACATATCTAACCTAAGCTCATCAGTCGAAGGTTAATGGTCAGTTAATGTGCCTCAATGCGTTAGCGTGGGAGTTAATGAACTCGGTGGTTTTCAAAACGACGATTTTAAATCAAAGTTAAAAACAAAACAGCCGCGCTGGGATATTCTCAAGCCTATTACAACTTGTGTTACACTATGCATTTTCTTGAGCAGTTTGTTTTCGTTTCGCTGCTGGAGAGCTGATTTTGATGCAGCCTGGCAAAAATGTTCTGAGGATCGAAAAGCGGGAGAAAATACGACAGCGAAGTGACAAACAAATTCCATTTCCTCGGCTGAATTCGCCAGCTCGGAAGCAGCATATGGTTTCAATGAAAAGACATTAGGCGGCTAAAATAACACAATTAAACCTAAAAGGTTTCGCCAGACAAGGCCAGCTATTTCTGAAACTATGATCGTTGTCTATTTTAGCGGGCTGCCAGGTGGACCCTATTGTGTTTTAACAAACGGAGCGGCTCAAACTATTTGATCTTCCTTTTATCCTACTTTGGGTGGAATTCAGGATTTTTAATTAACAAAGCACACAGGGATATCACATTGCACGCGAACAAGCAGCTCTTAGAAAGCTTGCTTTCATATCTCCACCAAAGTAAGTAACGACCATCAAACTTCTTTCAAAGCGCCACTTGGCTAAAGATGGGAGAAAGAAGACAACCGTGTCTCGTAACATAATAAAATAATGCTAGGGAGACGGACACACGCTCTGCTGACCGGGACTACTGACCAGAATGGTCCCGCCGACCGCGGCGGCGGGACGGGCGGTCCCTCGAACCTTCCTCTCTCGTTTCCAGCGGTTCATAGGGTCATCAGTCGGTTGGCACGGTGCGTCGGATGCCGAGCCAGCCACCGGTCCTCGTTAAAATGGCAGAACGGAGCTGGCGGGACAGGAGCGGGGCGAGAGGCCAGGAACCGGACGGATGGGTGGGAGGGACAGGAACGGGGCGAGAGGCCAGGAACCGGACAGGGATGGGTGGGAAGGAGCAGGGACGGCGAGCGACGTTTAGGGATAACGATCCAGGATAGGATCACAATTATGCGTGCCGAGGAGGATATCCAAAGACGCTAAACGTTGTATAAATGACAATTCCACAGCAATATCCCAAATCGAAAACTCTACGTAAAATGCATCTGACAAAGAAAACATATCACAATTAATGCTGAGTGCAACTCTTCACCCAAAACGTTTTCCAAGCTGTCTAACTAAGCTAACCGGCGCTGATACCAGGTCACACCGCCTGTCCGAATTCCCTACCTCGATCTACGCTGATGATGGAGTTGACGATGTCGCCCACCGTCATGGTGTGGTTCATGTCCAGCTTGTACTTCCACCGGATCATGAACCAGTCCAGCAGGAAGATTATCAGCGAGAGCACCTTCAGGCCCGCACAAATGCCCACGTACCTGAAAACGAAACACCATGTGTTACTTCACACGTCAAGCAGCTAACGACAGTGGGCTATGTCAGCATCTTACCACGGCACAATTTGGTGCTAGCATCAACGATTCTCGGCGAAACCGGCACACAGAGCCGCAAGCGAAGCCGAGTTCCATCGCGGCAGGACGGAGAGGCACTCAGCTCTCCCACCAGGCTCTGCCTGACCCACCCGTTCGCCGACCCAGCGCGGCACGACCTCCCGGCCATTAATCGCCATTGGACGGCGCCATTGGCGCGGACAAAGCCAGGCTGAGAGCCGCTTCTAATCGGCTCCCCGCCGAGCCGCCCCGTGACACACGGTCGCCATTGGAGGCCCCCCTGGCGGGCCCAGAGACGCGAGCCAGGCCGGCGCGGCAGCGATATCGGAGCTACCCCCGGGTCGACCGTAACGAGCCCAGCTCCAGATAGGTCAGAGTCGGTGCAGCCAGTTGTGAGAAAGGTGCCGATACGAGCCACTCCGTAAGTGGGACCATGAGTGGGTCGTAGAGATAGGGGGCAGGGGTGGTTAAGGTTTGGTGATATTTGGGTCCGCTTACTGGAACCATTGATTTTCTAATAATAAGTATGGCGCCTGGGCGCAGGAGAGGTAAAAAGGCTTAAGTTTACAAATAATCGTAAACGCCTCCGTTGAAACAATTTTGTGCGATAATAATTTGTTTGAATAGTAAAGCTCAAAAGAAATAACTGAAAGGTAACACTTATTGCTGCAGAGGCAGTTGCGGAGCTCTTATCAGCGAGCTCAGTATTTAGACATTTCCATCAATATTATGACAATCCCAAGCGAGTCTGGATGAATAGTGAGCATTTTCTAATTTTCGGATACCTATGCATAAATGTTGAAGCCGATGTGGTTTCTAGCATTTTTTTTTAAATTTAAAAGAGCACTTAGAACTAACATGAACCAAAACATGACCCCTCATCCCCAGTATCCCAATCACTCCGTCTCAGTCACTTCCAAGTTCCAACCGACTCACTTGAATCTGAACACCTCGATGTCGTAGATGAGGCAGCGCCCGGCCCGCTCGCCGCACTGCGACTTCCACAGCACGCACGTCGAGTCGATCACGTTGCCGAACAGAATCGGTGACGGGATGTAGGCGAACAGGCGGAAGATGACAAACTGCATGCCGAGCGCGAACGCGCGCTCCTCCTCGTCCACCGATCTGCGAGAGAGAAAAAAATAACCGAAAACATGGTAAGGTGAGAAAAAGTGAAGACACGTACTGTTGTTTCACTCACTGTCAGAGATCGCGGTACTCACAGCCACACTTTTCACGCGACATCGTAAACAAGACCCGCACAAGCGCACGAGCTCACGGACCAAAACAGCCCACACGGCTATGTGGCATTTTAGAGTCACCCTAACGCTACCCTCAGCGTCATCCCTGCTCCTCAGGCGCACCGACAAGCGACACCTATCGATGATCCACCATAACACCCGACATTGTGAAGCATGTGACCGTACAGGTCCTAAAGTTTTGTTTCACAGCTCTTTCCTATCCGAACCACTCTTCGGTATCGGGTACGACTGCCAAACGTCCTACATGGCTCTGCGGGTTGTGATCGAATGTTGAATACCAATCATTTCACCACGCAAAGGCGCATCCTGCGAACCACACCCCACTATCCGGCCGGCACCCTGACATCCACCCTCCACAGCCACCTCTGTCTCACCTCAGCACGATCATCAGCAGCGGCATCTGGGTGATGGCCACCACGAACGTCATGAAAAACAGCAGCACCATGAACGGCAGCGCGTTGGAGCAGGCGCGCGAGCAAGAGCCAGGCGTGGCGACGGGCACCATGGTGATCTCGGCGTACTGGCTGCTCGAGTTGCCAGCTTCGTTTATACCTGAGCGGGAGAACGGGAGAGGTCAACGGCTAGACAGATTATGTCAAACATTGTCGACGGTGGTGAGGTTTGAACAATCTGGGACTCATGATGACCGGGTAGCCGCAGCATAACAATGGGTTCCAAAAGGCTGCATGATTGGAGCTGGCGGCGTGCACCATCAATCCTGTTGTCCAGTGGAACATGTGGCCCAAATTACTGGCATCATCTACTATCTAGTGACAGAGAGGCATCAACTGAGGTGGCAGGTTTACGCTCTCGGCATTTTCTACAACACAAGTCGCACCACTCCTCCCACCTAGCGGCGACAGCCGATCACTCCCAATACTAACACTCGCCGTCGGGCGGCGCTGTACACTCACAGGCGCAGTTAGTATAGTTGCTCTCGGCGCTGTAGGTCGTACAGCCGGCGTGACAAGGTGAGAAGTATGTCAGTCCATTCGTCCCACACACGGGCTCCACTTCGTTCCGGTCACAATCGCAGCCAAAGTTACAGCTGGCCGTCAGGTTGACGCTGAACATCTCCGGGCTCTGACGAGAGCTGTCGGGACAGGGGAGGGGTCAGATGAGCGCTACACCGTGGCATGCGTAACTGTGTACTGACTGCAGATCTGTGTACTGCAGATCTGGGGCAATAGCAAATTCGTGTGGTACACACTACACAGTAGCGCCATTGTTTGAGTTTTGAGAACAGCAGTACAACACTAAGAATTACTGGCGTTGAATAGACTGTCAACTACCCTGAACAGTCAGCTTCGCAAGCATAGTCTCCTGAAGTTCTTTTCATCCGTCTTAGCATTGACTATCGCTAGGAATTTCAATAGGATATCATTACGCCGCCTACCGTCTGAATCGAGCCACCTGTCCAAGTTGATCTACAGCTCGGCACTTCTCTCTCCAAACAAATACAGCACCGCATTGATACCGTAAATTACTCCCGATACGTATGCCAGCCGTGTCGCCGCCTTCCTTTGGACCTAGCGGCGACTGAATGGGCCGGCATTGACCACAGTCACCGGGGACTCATTCAATATCGGACTGTGTCATTCGAATGGCATTGGCGACAGAGGCCGTTAGCTCCGTCCCGCACGGCGGACCACGAAGGCGGAGGGAGGGGGAGGGGACGCAGCGGACACCGGCAGCCTACCTGAGTGAGTACGGGGCTGTGGCGCCCGCCATCTTGACGTTGTCGCAGCCGACGACGAAGAGGACGCTGTACATTGCCAGCGAGATCATCTGGAAGATGAGGATCAGCTGGACGGCGCCCTTGGGTCGCAGCTGGAGACGCTTCAGGATGTAGCCGCCCATGAAGACGCCCATGCAGGCGCCCGGGATGGCAATCCCGCCTGGAGAGAAGAAAACAAACGTCAGATGGGTCGAAAAAGGTCAGGTGGGCATGGCTGAGAAACGGGAAGAAGTTATCAGGGAAGGTGAAAAGTGGGAAAGAAGGCGAAAAGGAGGACAGAATATACAAATAGATTCAGGGAAAGATGGAGAAAAATAAATTGAAGAAAATGGGGAGAAGGGTATTGAACAGGATAGCTAGAACTAGAAGGAAAAACTGAGAGGGAATTAATGATAGAAGAGATGAAACTAATAATGTAAATGGAAAGGGGCAATGGTACAGAATGTAGACGAAAAGACATCCGACACAGACTGACCCGATCAAAAGAAGACAGAGGTCACAGGGAAACAAGTCACATAACAACAGTCAGGCGGACAGAGATCAGACAAGCTCGGTCTGAATACAAAGTAGAGCTCGCCAGAGAATGTGATGCGTTGACACTTTGACCCCAACTGCATTTGCATCAGTAAGTGAGAGCCACGGAGTCTTCGCTCTGAAGTCACAGCTGGCTCAAAGAGATATCAGGGTTAATATCGTTTTGTTAGGCAGCTAGGCTGCGGGCACGATTTGACACTAATGCCTCTATAAGTTAACATATGGATCAACACCAAAGCCGACTTGATAAATAGGCAATCTAGCCAGCATTTACGGCAGGCATGAGTGAGAAGGAATTCTAGTTTGCCTCCATATATTACGGCTAGGAGCGAATTAATCATGGCCGAAATAAGTCTTGAAAGGTCTGTGTAGAATAGACGTGTTTTGTATGCAATAAAACGGTTCTATGACAACGAAGTTTAAATGAAGAGTCAATGAGTAGGTTACAACCCAATACCCATATATGATTTATGGTTGGTGCGGAAGAATTCAGTCGGAGCTAAACCATCAAAAGCCTTCAGAGGAAGTTACGCCAGCTGCGGGTGAAACTAACACTTTCTGCTGATAGCCACTGCAACGACTGCAGCTGATCAGATTGACATTCAGCCCAGTATATATTTTTTTCTTTAGCAGACTACAAAGTTGTGCAACATCTGGCTATTGTCACATTGAGAAAGGAGCGTTGCAGCGAGGTGGAAAAATATCACAGCGCCAACGGCTGGTGAATGTTTGGTCGACTGAGCGGAATCTGTTCCGCTTTTGATGCACTGTGTGCAGCTGTCATTGCAATTACCTTGTCAGATGCCTGTCAATATTCTAGGTTTGTTCGTGGAGCATCAAAACAGCGGTCCGTTCGCAGCTTTGCTCATCATATCATATCAGAGAACACCCCAAGAAGGTCTTGATAAAACCAGTATAGCGCCTTTTGGGGCGATTAACGGAGCGAGCGAGAGGGTGGGCCTTGCACGTGCGAAATTGCGAGGGGTACCTCCAACTGACTTGTGCACGGCACCTTACTAACCGGTCTCTAGCGATGTGCCAAATTTGAGCACAATCGGCCCAGCCGTTCTCGAGATCTGGAAGCGGCACCCTGCACGTGCGCACGTGCAAAATGGGTCCCAACTGACTTGTGCACGGCACCCTACTAACTGGTCCCTAACCATGTACCAAATTTGAGCGCAATCGGTCCAGCCGTTCTCGAGATCTGGAATCGACCCCTGCACGTGCGCACGTGCAGCAGCACCCCAACTCTGGCACATGGATATGCATTGCCTAGTGGGTGCCTACCTACATGCCAACTTTCAGCGCAATCGGCCCAGTAGTTACCGAGATATTGCAACAATTACAAAAGTGACACCTCTTCGTTTTGCACGTGGCACGTGCATAACGGGTCACCCACATGCATCGGGAATAGTCCAATACTTGGTAGAAGGAATGAAGCTACCCTACAAAAATTACTGCATGTAAATCCGTCAAGTGGTTCCTGAGATATAAGCGTCGCAGAACCGTGACCACGGCCGGCCGGCCGGCCGGCCGCTCATACTCAGAAATTTCCGTTATTCTACGTAAGACTCCGCTCGCTTCGCTCGCTCCGTAACCACCCATGCCTTGGCGAAAAAAAGTTCGCTTACTAGATATAAAAGTAACTTACGAAACCACACCACGCCCAGACTGTAATTTGTTCAGCGAGTTCAGCTATAAAACCCAGTCACACTCCCAGCCAGAATACCAGCTCAGCAGTTGTCCTGCAGAGCGCTACTGCAGAGTTATTCAGTTAACTGGACACTTGATCCCACATCCCTTTTACACGCATCGTCATTCGCCACACCTTCAGCTTCCCCTCCCCTCTCCTCACACCCCGCCACTGCTAACACAGCCCGCTCCCGACACTCACCCGCGAACACAGAGGCCTGGCTCTTGCTGAGGCTGAACTGGGTCTCCAGGTATTTGGGCAGGAACACGATGAATCCGGAGACGATCATCAGCTCCATGCACGCGCCCAGGCAGGTGACCACGTAGATTGGGTTACACACCAGCTTCCACATCGACTTCGGCAGGTCTGCCGGCGAAAACAAACACCTCGTGAGACTTTCATCCGTCATGTGATATATTGAAAATCACGTGAAGTAAAATATCCAATAAAAATGAATACATAAAGAACATAAGCATAATAAACCGATAATTACATGGCATCAGTTTCCTATGCCTCTGAATCACAACTCAAATCTAATCATGAACGCTAATTAATCAAGCGTCCCCGTCCGGGACACACCACCAATCCCTCGTCACGGCGCAGCAGCGCGGGCGGACAGCCATCGCCGCCGGCGTCTCCCAGGGATCGATTGTCGGCCCCGAATTCATCACTGTGCGCCGTTCGACGCGACATTCCCATCAGCGCCGAGCCCCCGGCGGGAGGCGGCCGGTCCCGTCCCGACACTAACTCTGCACGCTATCAATCCCACCTGGGCCGCTGCCGGCCGGCCGGCGCCCCTTTTATGCCCCATCCGGCCGAATCACCGGCTTTTACTGATCAGAGGCGTGAGGGCGTCGGCGTCGCGGTCACCATAGTCTTACGGCTCCCGTCTCACCGGGTTATGACCCAGCCGGCGACAAGGCTCTCCGGTCAACACACGCCCCAACAAAGCTACACCAAACAAACAAACCTACTCGCACACTAAAACGGTATCCACGCATCCACCAACGCCCAAATCTACACAAGCACACGCATACGCAGCTATACACACCCGTACACTCCGTACATACCCACACGAACAGTTACTCACACACACTGAACCGACATCTACCCATCATCCCACGCACCTACCCACTGCCCAAATGCCAATCATACACACTTTACAGTGCACATCCAAACACTCATCCACTTACACACACAGAGGATGCCATCACCACCGACGCCATCGTCACTCACCTTTGACATCCCGTCCGTAGTTGGAGCGTGCCGAGCGGACACTGTGCTGGCTGACCCGGCTAACCTGCGACACATTCGACTTTGTGCGCCGATGACCGCGGTGGAAACTGTTCTGAGACAGCGCTCGCTGTGGGCCGGCTGTGAGCAGGAGAGGAGGCGTTAGAGAGGTGCAGAGACAGCGGAACACTTGCTGAATAATAGAATAGTTACCGCTCCAGTATTTGAGAAGGTACTTGAGCTAAAATATAAACAATATGGAACCCACGGATAAACTGAGTACCGATTTAAAGCGCGCTGGGAGGTACGGGTTAAGTTGAGCTGCTAGGGCTAAACTCTCGGGCGCCAGCCAGAGTGTGGTCAGTGGTCACCAGGTCGATAGAAGACCCGGCAATGACTCATTTGTGAAGCTGAATGAGGTTGTCGTGCTAATGTTTGGCTTTACAGGCAAACCTAGTGCCTCATTCAAAATCAGACGGGGACTCAAAACTCCCTGAGTCAGACCTATTCGATTTGACGCGGTCCATGATTCAGTCTAGCAGGGCTAGCATCCCCCGGAACACAACACCAGGAGCTTCACTATCGAGTTTAACCAGCCACTCGGGTTAACCCTCTCCCGGTAAAGCACACGTACTTTTGGACAGCGCCGTCTGGGACACCGTGTAGACGTTCTTGGCCGGCTCGGCCTGTGCCGCCTTCTGCTGGGCGGCCAGCTCCATGTGACGCAGCCGACTGCGGTATTCATGCTCAGTCGGGTTGGATAGAGTCCGCCTGCGGGGGAGGGCGGTAGTATGGTCACATTGGTCAACAGTGGCGTGGAAGGAGGGAGAGGGAGAGGGAGAGGGAGAGGGAGAGGGAGAGGGAGAGGGAGAGGGAGAGGGAGAGGGAGAGAGAGAGGGAGAGGGAGAGGGAGAGGAAGAGGAAGAGAGAGGGGGGGGGGGGGGGCGAGAGGGCGAGAGGGAAAAGAGACGAAGGGAGCAGAAATAAAATAGATGGAACAGCAGGCCTGGCTCTGTTAGCGGCCAGCAGGCGCCTACTATAGCCTCCTCCGTACCGATCGGCGATCACCGACCACAGTCATTTCCTGAGCCGACGTAAATGTTTGGTGCCGAGCGGCGGCCCGCCAAACTAACAGTCCGCACAGTGCCGATCTGGTGCCGACAGCCGACCGCATCCAACGCCAAAGTTTCTCCGACCAAGATCCACAAACAGACTAGATCTCCGGCGCCCTCCGGCTCATAAATCCGCCCACCGGGTCACCTCTGCGACAGCTGCAGATGGAGCGGCTCCCGCTCTTTTCCTTCTCTCGACCTCTCCCTCGGTTCACCCCCGCTCTGTCCTTCCTCCCGTCCTCTCCCTCTGTTCACCCGTCCCGTCCACTCACCGATGGCCCGGTTTGAAGTGGGCCTGTTTGCTGGCGCTGTGGTCGATTACCACATTACTGCTGGCCGTGCGCCGGTGGCCACGTGCCGCGTGTCCGTGCACGTGTCCGCCGTGCCCGTGCGGCTCGTGCTCGGACACGTGGCGTTGCCGGAAATGATGGAAGTGTTCCTCGGAGCCACGTGACGCGGCCCGGTGCTGCCGCTTGGCCTCCTTGGCTTTTTCCTCCTCCCGGACACGCTGCTTCTCACACTGGAACGAGAATCAGTCGGTCAGGTCAGGACACGTGGGGTAAGAACAGGAAGTCCTGGCACTGAACGAGCGACACCCAGTCAAGTGACATTAGATGACATCCGGGGGAGCGGGAACTGTCTCTCCTCACAATGGAGACGTCAGGTAACACACCAGGCCAGCGGGGTGTGGAAGGAGACAGGCTTGGCTGAACACAGGTCAAGTACCGGTGCCGCTCTCGTCAATTGATTGTGCGAGGAGTTATTCTGGGTGCCTGGCGGCGTCAGGTAACCTCTCCCTAATAATTGCTGGCTTCCCCTGCCTGTAACCGGAACCTATGGGCAGGGGCCTCTTAATGGCAAACGAAACTCATTAAGCTGGCTGCTTGATTGGTAAGACGATACGGAGTGCAAGGATTACGCAGGTGGAAATCAGGCAAGCAACGCAACCATTCACGCAGCTGCACTTTACCAGCTGAAGCTCTAAGAGCACAGCAATACACCCACATCAAACATCACAGATCAATTCAAGCGTAAGCCTTAAACCAAAGCCATGAATTGATCAATGCCCGGGCGGTCCGTTTTCGATCATCACTCACCTCCAGGCTCTTGGGGAAGAGGAAGAAGGGCGCTCCGAGCACGAACATGCCGATGCCACAGATGAGGAAGCCGCCCCACCACATGCCCACCCAGCGCGGGTCCGATGTGTCTGCCGGAGAGGGCGGGTCGGGTCAGGTCAGGTCAGGTCAGGTGAGTTCAAACAGTACGCTGTCTCGTTTCAGGTTATGACTTTATTTATTAACATTGCAAATAAAGTCAGCAAACAGGAAAGCAGGACAAATATTACCTAAGCCGCATGCTAAAATGCGCCGAATGTCGGCAAAATATTTCCAAACTAATCCTACGTAACAGCCTGAGCAAAATTGAATACGTTACAATTCAGCCTCCTTCAGAGGCCTGACTGGATAGGACGCTTCAAAGAACCCCAGAGGGTGGGTGGGCACTTCAATGGACAGTGTTGAGTGGGGACAGGAAATCCTGATCCCTGGATCCCAGCTCCACCAGCGGACAGTCATTGCGTAGGTAGCCAGGACGGATATGTCGACACGGCATTAAAGCGCAAAGTTGCAAACTTGCAGAGCAGCCATGTGATATCCGGGTTGAAATTAATGCAACGGTGCAACGCCCTTCCTGTTAAAGGGACTATCCCACCTTTAACATGGGGTTTGAGTTGAGATAGCCAAGTTTGCAGCGAGGTTCAGAAACCACTATCTATCTAGGTTGCAACCCCCGCGGCCTCTTGGTGTTGAAGAAATTCGTTCCCTTCATTTGAAAATGGGCCTTGTACAAGGCCCTATCTTCAACATGGAGCGACCGTTAGTGTGACGTCACCTCGTTTAGTCATTCTGATTTAAATGGGTTTGTTCGTTGAAAAATCGCTTAAAACTTGGTCTGAACTTTGTTGTGGTGCCTACAGAGTAAAAAGAATCAGCTTTATGACAGTAATGTGGCCTGGGGAAGGAGGCAATTTTGGGCTGTGACGTCACATATTTGAAAGTTTGTGTTTGGAATATGGGAAGCCTAAGATGTTTAATGAAAAATAAATGCCAGAACCGTGCTCCTGGTCATCCAATCTAAAAAGTCGGGCACAATTTAACTGGTTTTAACAACATTTTAGAAGGTGGGATAGTCCCTTTAACTTGAGGAGTAGCAAAAGTCAAGTGAAAGAGCCCTAAACATCAAACTTCTATCGTTAGAATAACCAGAAAGCCCACGACACCCCCATCAACGTATAACTCTTGGGTCATAAATTAACAACCACCCGCCTTTGTTAGTAAGTCAACGGAGAGGAAGTCTATTAAACAACTAGCTTATATAAGTCACTGAAATAAATAAGCAATAAATTGTGACCCATAAATCCAAACAGAAAAAATTCGTCCCGCCTGTCGCCATTTAACCTTGTCGTATAGGACAAAAGTATGGAATGTGACAGACCCCACCTTATGCCAAAACTCGGCGGCGTGGCGCACAAATCACCGTCTGTCACCGCCAACCGGTCACCCATCACAGTCGAGACGCCGGCGGCTGCGCTACAACAAACGGCTGGCACCGGGCAGCCGACACGGCCGAAATAGCCCCGTCCGTAATACGTTACATAAGAGCCCTGGCACTAAACCCCAACAGTGAGTGACTGTATTTTCGCATCATCCCTCCAAATCATAGCACGCTTTCATAGACAACAAACTATCATCATATGGTGTGCACCTAGCGGTATTCTGAATGCACTCAGTGATCCTGTCGCGTCCTGACGTAAAGACGAAAGAAAGTGAGTTTGGTGGAAATATAGAGAAAAAATGAAGTCTTACCGGCATCATCAGGTAGTGGGATGCCGGAGAAGGCGTCCACGTGGTGGGAGAGCATGTAGGCTCCGAGCAGGAAGCCCAGTACCGGCCCGAACGCCACCATACTGTACATGCAGCCTGTGGGGTGGAAAAGAGTTGGAACGGTGTCACACGACGAACATTTCTTAGCAATGGTGAAATAGTTTGACGAGACAATTCAAACATCAGTAGGTAACACATAAAGATCGCCAATAACTGTGATTCTAGCAATATTTTCCCAGCTATATCGCGGAAGTCATACACTCAAGTATAGTATACTGTAGTGAGCATCACGATGAGAGTGCGGAACAATATTGTCTGGGCTGAGTGCTCTGGGTCAATTCATTAATCTGAGGCAGAGGTTACAGGAAACAGCAATATCCTCCCGTCCAATAAAGTCATCGCAATACGGTGTCGAAATACCAATTCAGCACCAGCTACATCGATTGTCACAACACGGCTGCCGCAATGGCACGATCCGTGCAGCGAATCTCCTGGGACTCCAGCTGAATCAAACCCCGCACTGCAGTCACTGCGGCCACACCAAATACCCGCTGGGACAATCAAATCCATCATTGACTCGAGCGCAATTACCCCACCGGATTTCAACATTCCAGTCAAAGCTAGCAATTCACACCTAGCTCTCCTCAGCTCTATCCATCTCATCCTCTCACCACTCATCAACCCGTCATCTCTCACCCTCCCTCCTCTCTCTCTCTCTCTCTCTCTCTCTCTCTCTCTCTCTCTCTCTCTCTCTCTCTCTCTCTCTCTCTCTCTCTCTCTCTCTCTCTCTCTCTCTCTCTTTCTCTCTCACACACACACACACTCTCTCTCTCTCTCTTTCTCTCTCTTCCTCTCTCATCTGCCTCTACTGACCGATATAGAATGAGGAGCTCTCCCGGGGCACGTGGTCGTCAATGTAGGTAGTGCCCAGTGTAAAGAGCGGCGAACCGCCCGAGCCCAGCAGCAGCTGAGCCAGCATGAAGATCAGCACGGGCAGCAGGTTGCTGATGGTGCCGTCAATGCAGTTGTCGCACCGGCCGTGCAGGTTGTTGTGAGGAGAGAGTGGAGGAGACGCCAGGTCCCGAGACAGGTCTGCAGAAAGGCAGAGTAGAGAGAATGGGTCAGAACGGCGGAGACAACAAAAATGTCATTTAGAGTCATACGGTAGCAAGATAAACGAACAGATACACAATCACATTCATGACTCTCGCTTCGTGAGTTCGATGATGGCGATTTCGTGTTATGGGGCGCGTGATTCCGTGAGATCGAGGGCCGTGCAGCTGGTGGGGACAGGATCTAGGACAGAAGCGATCCGGTGACGCGGTGGAGATGGGTAGACCATCAGGTAGATGCTGGGGCATAGTGTGTGCGGGCCGCGACAGCAGGCTAGGAAAACGACACCGGCCACAGCTAATGGATCCAGGCGGACAAAAAAGTGGGAGTGTATGTGTTCTGTCAGGTGTACTGTACAACAGCAAATGGAACGGTGGGAGAATGTGGCTGCTTCACTCAGGCAAAGGGGGGAAAAACTTCCACGAGAGAAGGGCTGATAACAGAACAGCCCATAGCTGAGCCGTATGATTTTTTTTACCTTCGGCTATGCCCAGGGGCTGAACCCAGTCGGCATAAAACCATTGGGAGGATAATTTGAAAGGGATAAGACCAATTACCTGACGCCATCTGACATTTCAAGTTTTGACAGCAAACTGCGCAAAGTTCATCTCTCGAGATGGTCCATCACGAATCAGGCCTTCACGTCAGTTTAAGAGAAAGGTGGGCAGTGACGCGGCTTTACCGAGAACAAAACCAGTCCGGCGCCGAGTTAGTGAGAATAACTCGCAGATAGAGCCGAGCGGAGGGTCCGTCACGACCGGTCGGCGAAGGATGATGGGTCATGAGACGGAGACAGCGTCGCAGCGACGTCTCAGGGGACAGTGGGAGAGACGAGTGGCTTATCGGACCGGTGGCAGGAAGCGTGACGCCGGGCGGCGGAGGCCGAATTCACGCCAAATGTTAGTCTATTACGCCGGAAGGGACACAGGATACTGGGCAGACAGCTGGACTGAGACTGACAGACAGACAGACGGACAGATGGCTGTCGAGGTCATACGATGGCGCCCGAGATAAATATTTCTGAGACGGAAGAGAGACGCCGTTAAACATGGAAGTAGCTATGATTATATAATACAGGGTCAGGGATGAAAAATGTGGACAATGTGGGATGATGCGCATCGGGCTGACATTTTCCACAGACTTTACTAGTGAGACACATAACTCTGGAAAATTGACAAATCAGCTTAGCCCCTTGGGCAAATGTCAAAGCTAAGTCGATCAGGATGACATTAAACTTAGAGACGACACATGCCTGACATGATTTTCAGAACCCAACCATTCAGCAGCAGTCACGGCATCAAGGGATAAGTCACTGCCGAACAAAGACGCAGGTTATCGAAAATCGCAAAAATAATTCACCGATACGGCAAAAATCTATCAAAAAATTATTTATATATAATCAAAAGTGCAGCAAAATCCTTACGATATCCTAACTCACAAGTTTTAAGCTATTTCTTGATATGGCATCACAAATGCACCTTTTAAGTATTCACTGCGTTTACTGACGATATAAACATTTCAGTCGTGCTTGGCACGAGCATGCACAACATGCAACCACGTATAGGTACTCCAGTTATCAGCTAAAAAAGTCCACCCAGTACCAGTCGGTGCCGCCACCATCACACTTGGGAAAAGCGTCGCGCCTGCTGTCGTCATAACTATAGGCCCTGCCGTGCGTCCGTCCCGTGAGGCAGCCAGCAGTTTCAGCCAACCATTTTAGGGAACGAGCGACTCCTGTGCGGCAGGGCAGGGTTCAACCAGCGCGAAGCCCCACCCGCGTCTGTCTGGGTCAGGATGGACCTAAACAGAGACGAACTCAAGACGCCGGTCCCTGTCAGCATATACGGAGACAGGCCGGCGCAGGAGCGGACCCGGTGGACCGACCAGAGGCAGGTTCACGAGGGTCACAGGAGGTAACATTATATCACGGAAGGAATATGTCGCTTTGTGCAGCTGCACAAACACAGCAAGGAACACAGCGCTATAATAACGATTGCTATCTAAAGCCCATGGGGTAATTTCACACCAATACGGAGTCATGTAAAATAAAATCACCAAACAAATTTCTCATTTATGCGACGCACTACGCAGTGCCCAACTATTACTGCGCATTTTCCCTCGGGGACGGCCACTGGAGGGATGGGGAGTGTGGGGGAGGGGAGGACAGACGCGTCGCTCGGCCGGCCCGGCACCTATGGCGCTACCCAATTACGGGCATCGGATCGATCGACACATACAATCGCATTGGTCCGACTGACCGACCGGCTCGGCAGAAGCAGGGGGCTGCCGGGGCGGACACGACGCTGAATATCGGTCCAATATAGACCGGTGGCGGCCGGCAGGGGCAGCTAGACGCTGGGCACAGGATCGAGGATATGGCACGGTGATACAATACTGACTGTGCTAAGGCGATACGCTGTGTGTGTGTGGGGGGGGGGGGGGCTACATGGAAACAGAGTAGCTCACAAAAATCATCACAGCTGACGGTTTTAAATAGTAATGCAGTCGGATCATGCAACACACACATTGTCGGTATACAGTGAATAACGCAGCAGTCACTGACATTTGTCCGTGGCTAGGCATGCAAATCTACACTTCAGGTTATGAATATCATAAAACACTACCGAGCAGGCATGCTGTTCGTGCGATGTTCATGAAACATAGCCTGCAAAGGTCGTCTATCGCCTTAAACACATTAAAGTTAAACACAAGGTTACTGAATTTCACGCTGGCATGTGACCGTTCCTTTCCAATGTGCTACCGTACATAGGGGAGAGTGGGGCAAAGCGGCCACCCGGGGCAAAGCGGCCATCCATCGTTTTAGCCCTCCACAGCTGGCGTCAGTTCCAATTTATGATTTCCAAATATACTTCTCTTTGCGGTCGTTCGAATGAGCCAGACCGGGGTTTCAGGCCCATCGCCATTGTTCTGTGAAACACGGAAAAGCATTTCTTGCCAGGTTACCAATTATGTTTACAATTTTTAAATGTTATTTTATTCCATAACCGTTTGGAATTTTTATAAGCGTTTTTGTCCATGCATTGCGTGGTTATCGTACATGCCTCCTACCAATTTTAATGCTTTTTACCCCACTAATAGCTGAGCTGGAATATTTTTGTCTCGGACGGTAGCGCGGGGCAAAGCGGCCGGGGCAAAGTGGCCAGCCCCCAATTGGCCATAAGTTGTTTCCATCTGGATAAAAACATTATTTATATTCAAATGTGTCGTCATGCATTCATCTTGGCCACTTTTTGGTTACATGAGTTACCAAATTATGCAATTAAATGTTTTTCCAAGAAAATTATTTCTTTGTTTAGCAATAGGTGGGAAGATAACAAAGTAAACATCCATCTTCCCTTAAACCTTGTCACCATCAAATACCCTAGTCGTGCATGAGGCAACTATTCTGTTTCTCATATCGGGACTTGAGAAGTCGCCAGTGGCCGCTTTGCCTCAGGGATGGGGCAAAGTGGCCAATATGCTATAGGTCTAAAGTTTTGTCAATATCTCCCATATGTGAACGCCTTTGGAAATGAAACGCAGTTGGAATAAAAGACAATTTAATAGGGATCACATTGGTATAGAAAAAATCTTTCCAAGTTTAAAAATCCAGCGTCGGCATCGTTAGAAACGTTAGGGTGGCCGCTTTGCCCCACTCTCCCCTACGTATGGCTTCAGCACGCCTGGATGTCACCTAGCAATACAACTTGCATTTGGAAAACCATCATTTGGCTTCTTCTATGAAATGCCGAATGTAATGTAAGCCCATCAGGGAGACATTATGTGCCGTGTAGGGACCGCATCGTGTCATGTTTCGGTCAGTCACCGCGCAGGCCGCCAGCCTACCACAAATCCTTCAGCACTTCCTGCTGCCGTCCCCGTCCGCCGACGCTACGCGCTGATTGGCCGTCTGGCCGCGGTCACGTGATCAAGCTGACCCGTCGAAGGTCAGCCAATCAGCAGTCAGCGATCAGCTGTTGATGCAGCGGCGGACGGGGACGGAAAGGTGCACTACTAATTTTTACACCATGGGGCATTCTTACAGGTAAACTAAGTAACATCAATCGCTAAGTCACGCTACTTACGGGTTAGATGCGTTAGGCTCCATGCTTAGCTGTCTGCCACCACATTTAGCTGACCTCCCGCTTTGAGCGGGCGCCCTCACATGCAGCGCATGCGACGGCCGGCGGCCGGCGCGGCTGACCTACCGTGGAGTCCCTCGGCCAGTTTACCGATGCTTTCGATGCCAGTGATCTGCTCGAACTGGCGATACTGGTCACGGCGCACGGCCGGCCGGCACACGTTATCCGCCACAGAGCTCGAGTTGGAGTCCACACTGAGGCTGTAGCTGTCCGTCAGGAAGTGCGGCACGGAGAACAGCAGGCTGCCCAGGCCCATCACGATGATGCCTGCCGAAGGAGGGGCGCAGGTCAGTCAGAAAATCAGGCTGTGACGGGGAGACGGCTGGCACAGAAGCGATGACACATGGTTGGAGCGGCAGGTATGGCTGCAGATCCGGGTCAGTGATGATAGCACCAAAACTGCACTGCTAAGGAAAACTAGTTTGCAAAAGTTAGTCTTGCAAAAGGCTTAGTTTGAGAGTGAACTAAAGCATAACATAGGGGAGCGTGATGTTGATAAGAACTGCGTGCATGTCAAACGCAAAGCAAATCAAATATGTAGCAATGGAGGGAAATAAACAAGGCCTCATCAAACCTCAATACTAATACAAAAGTACAAACTTTTGGCATGAAAAGCGCTTTTGGAAACGAACTGTCATTCCAAACGCTCCACTCTTCAGAACACTTCATCATACCACCTGTGACCTATACTAGTCGAAATAAAACATGTAAGGTAAGTACTGGAAAAATCAGTCCAGCTGCCAGGCAATACAAATCCCGGCCGTTCAGGGACCGATAGTGAATTTCCACTATCCACCGCGCGGCCATCCTTAAGCCGGAAAGTCTGTCTTCCAACACGGCCCGGAGGTCTCGTACGCGGCTAGAGCGCTCACAGTACCATCGATAATTCACAGGGCGTTCAATTAATCACGATCGAGCGCGTCACGGGCGAGCCTGCCGCAAGCCACGGTCACCGGTCGAAGCTGGGAAAACTAACGCAGCTGACCAGGGCTGGAGCCCAGGGAACCAGGCTCCAATAGCTGGACGCTCATACAGGGCGGATCGGCCCTCCCCATCGCCGCCAGGGCAGTCGCACACGTCAACAGGGCTGTCACACATGTCAGCAGCACACAGCCGCAGATTCGCTCGCTCTATTAATGATGTTGGGCGAATGTCGGTGACGTGCTCTGAGAGGGCAACGTGACCCGCCCAACACGTGCAGTCCGCACGTGGCCTGCACGTGCCGGTTGGAACACGGGACATCGCGTACGCCTCAGTGACGAAAGTTTTTTAATCGTGCCCTCAGACATCCAGCCTAAACACAAATTGAGCGACACTGAACTGCATAATTTTATACCCACGTTTCAGCGGACTATATCCCATCTATGTAGCGCGGGACTAGCCCGTGCTAGACCCCATGCGGTTTATAGATCGCAGCAGGTGTCACTATCGTCGACAAACACACCGGTGTTGTTAGTATGTGGGCCGTTCGTGTGCATAGCTAACCGCTGGTCCGCAAGCCAACAGTCCGTATACCAGAGGTCACGCCCGCGGTTCCAGCGTGGGAGCACAGACTGGCGCAGGGCAGTGTCGGCTCACACAGGTCAATATGGGCGCCAGAGCTCAGTGTCGGTGTCAGGACAGGTGTCAGTGTCAGGACAGAGTGTCGGTGTCACTCAGTAGTTCCGGTGCCATTATAAGGATCTGTGTCATGACAGGCATCAGTATTGCATTACTAATGTGAACTCAGGTTCCCGCTAGTTGCGACGTCGAGTCTATTTCAGTGCCCATGTCAGTATCGATGGAGGTGACGGTGTCAGCAGCGCTGGTGTCGTTTCCAGTGACGACTCCATTACAGTCCCCACCTACGTGTCAGTATCTGTAACAAAGTGCCGTTCCCTGCCCGCCTCCACGATCAGCCCCCCGAACTGCGTCGTTCTGTAGGCCGTCAGTCTGCGAGTGACGAACGACCCTGAACGAAAACCAGGAGCGACGCACTACTCCCAGACACACGACGCCTGACTCGGACAGCCCCACAGTCAACCAGGACACAAAATTTCGCCCAGGATTCTCGCTATGACACCGAGCACCGCCCGTGTGCCTTTGACCACAAAGCACCACAATGCCGAATGCTTAGCCCCATAACGGGGAGTGAAAAGCAAAGGCATATAACAGGCCCTGAGCATAACCAAGAACCAGACACCACACAGGCCAGCGAGCGGATAACCCTTCAGTCAAATGGAAGGATTCCTCAGATACACGGACCAGAGGTAGTCCCAAGGCAGTGCTCTCAGTTCATCGCCTCCTCAGTCCATCTATGACGGTCGTCCCAAGGCAGTGTTCCCAGATCACTGCCTCCTCAGTCCATATATGCTGGCCGTCCCGGCATAAGACTGCGGCGGTAACAGAGGGTCGATAACCGGAACTGGGCCGGCCGCCGCAGCGCGAATGTAGGCCAGATGCCCCGGCGACAACCCGGCGCGTGTAGATAAATTTGAGCGATATCATCAGCGGGGTGGAACTCGAGACAGGCCGGTCCAAATAATGGCGAGGATGATTAACAGACAACCCATTCTCAAATGCCTTTTGACAAAGCGGCTAAAACGGCAATTGTTGCAGTTGCGAAACAATATGTCGGGAGCAGGGAACTGAAGACAAATAGGCAGTAAAATATCAAAAGCATAACCAGAAGATAAAAATATTCTGCCAGCACACTTTCACGGCCGGCCGATAAAGACATCGGCTAATTTCAGAACACTCGAACACACTCAATTCCAGAAACGATGCCGCCATCGCAGATCCATCTTTCCGGCTATGAAATGAGCGCGCTCGATCGGCGAAAGACGCGTGACAAGTGGGCCTGAAATCTGTTGAGCCTGCTGACCCAGCACGGCGTCAGCGCCCGTATCGCGCTAATCACAGCATCTGCCGCCGATGGGAACAGCCCGGCCAATCACCCCGACACGCCCCCGGCCACTGCCCCGGCCGCGAACCCGCCGTTCCCCGAGCTGGGACTGGCGATATGACGACGTTGGAGCAGCCAACCATCAGCACAGCACGTGTTACTGCACGGAGTTCGTAAACAGAGCTGAAATTAGACATCCGATGTCTAACAGAGGCCTGTCGGTCGTCTGGAAAATACCAGAAAATACCCACACAATATCAGATGTAGAGTAATGGGTTGGACGGAAAAACGAGTGGTACTGACAGGTCCTAATCTATGATATTTTCAGTCAGCCGACCAGATGACTTCCTTGACCTCCGCAACCGAAACCAAGCGAGACGAGGAATCGCTGGCGAGCGAGTCCGCTAATTCCAAACCGAATCTCTCACATAGCTCTGAGTCAATAAAAACAGTGGGCAGACACTAATTCCGTCTCCAAACGTTGGCAGGCCCCGAGCGCCGGGCCGCGGGCTTGGCATACCTCGGCCCGTTCTGAAGCCTTGACACCACGACGCCACAGCTGCGGTTAAGGGGTGGGAGGCAAGGGGACGCCCCTCACTCCTGTGTCTTAACTATCATAGGTTTCTGCTCACTGTCAAGACGTGTCTAACCGGCGTCGGTCACTAACCTCTGCCGATCCACACGGGTACGTGTCGCCGCGAGCCGAGGTAGCTGACGAAGATGACGGTGAGCATGTTGCCGATCTCGTAGAATGAGGCGATGACGCCGGTAAGCGAGCTGGGGATCTCGTACCGCTTCTCTATGGTGGTGATGACTGAGTTGAGGTAGCCGGAGCTGAGAGCCTGCTGGAGCGTCACCAGCAGCGACAGCAGCAGCACAAATACCTGAAAACAAACGGTGAACGGGTCTTAGACAAATGGGCGTCTGATAAGGAGATAGGGGCTGTATTGCCGGCAACAGTAGTGGCGCAACTAGCTGGAAAGTGGAAAAACAATCTTTATGAGCAACAATATGCGTGGAGCGCCGCGGTGGCTGCAGAAGTGAGTACCTGTACTGTTGAATTGTGTACAAACATTAATGCAGGCACGACTGGTGTGCGAACACAAATTTAGTCAAACACAAACCAACGAGTATGGGCCCAAATACCTCAGGGAGAAAACACAAAGTAAGCCACGTATTGTGGACACAAAGACACCTGTGCAGAGAATCAAAGTGAGAAATGACTGTTAAAACGTCTGCAGAACCGCAAACAAGTACAAGACCGCACACCGGGGCAGGCGGCTGTTGGCGCAGCAGGTGGTTGTTGGCTGACAGCGACAACCTAGTGGAGCACACTTTTTCACGAGCGCAAGATCAACAGTTTTTGTGTGAGTGGGGGTTTAAAGCCAACATACCCGCGGTACAAGATCCAAGTAACAGACGGATGGAAACTACGAAATAAATATCAGGTTACTGGCTCAAAGGATCAGAAGAAACGCAACATCAAACACTCGTACCCCAGAAAAAAAAATCATTACACCCGAAACAAAGAACGCTAAGCGCTCAAAATACCCAAGGATCAACGGAAACATTATGCAACTCCGACTGTCAACAAGGAGCTCAATTCTTACCTCAAAAAAGCAAGGTCAGCTGGAACAATGGCCTCAGAGCCAGAGCAAGAACAGGCTCTTTGCACTCCTTCCCGGCTTAGCAGCCGAGAAACACGTTTGGACGGCGGATGCGGTGGTAACCAGGCCGGAAAACAGCGCCGTGAAACCAGTGACCCGCGACCCCAGCCCACTGTCCCCAGGCACGAGCCAGGGCCAGCCGACAGCACGCATAATGGGACATCTGGGTGGGGCGGCAGGGACTTTCACAAACTTTTACTTGTTTGTCATGGGTTGAGATGAAGTTTGATAAGCCTTGTAATTACACAATGCATTTAACCGTATCAGCTAATCATGATAGAAAGGCAATTCATAGTGAAACAAAATCGGAGCGAAAAAGGATTAGCGCAGTTAAACTATGAAGTATGAACATATCAAGCTAACAAATATTTGGTTAAAGAGTTTAACCAGCGTTTCGTTGGAATTATTCCTACGAACCGAACAGGTCCAAGCCGGATTTGAAACCACTCAGTGAAACTCTACCCGAGTGAATGGACAAAGACTTATTATCTACGTCTGTCCTGAAACAATGCCCGTCGGCTTCGTCAACAACGTAATCGGGCGAAGCATCTCCCCCGTAACAAACGCAGCAATCAGTAGCGACTACCATCTGGCAAAGAGCTCCGAAACATCCGTTTGGCAGGCGGCGAGAGGAGGCGGGCCATCTCAGCACCATTTCAGCCGTGAAATGACAATGCCCGGCCGGTGTGATGCTGCGATCCGACCGCCCACGCGGCAGCGAGGGGGGGGGGGCGGGGCGGTCCAGAACGGAGCCATGGTGCAGTATGGATACCACACGGACAGGACCCGGCGCGGCTGACGAGGAAAACGGTCCACTGAACAGAACCAGTGAGCCATGCAGCAGGCGCCAGTGGCCGGACAGAACAGGAAATAACCTAACCATATGCACTGCTCCCGAACGTTCTTTCACGTGCAAAAACTGCACATAAGGTGAATGGCTTGACGCTTTCGGACATAACAACTTCATTATTAAGATGTAGCAACGCAAGAAACCGATTTTGAGTCGACATAAGGAACATTACTTCCACAAAATTTGAGGGACGGAAATACATTGCCAAGTCTACGTCACACCATTTACATCGATCTTTAGCAGCGGCGGAAGTTTAAGTGATGCCTAGCAAGGAAGCTGGTGGCACTCATGCATGTTCACTGTTGCGAAAACCATTCGACTTTTGCTGGAATGGCGCCGTTGCCATCATTTAGATCAATAGGCAATGGAGCATCGCCGTGCAGTTGAATTCGTTTTACGGTGGCAATAAATATAAATATAAACATGGCACAGGCATGACATTAGTGAAGCGCACCTATAATTCTGGGACACACAACGCCTCTGTCGGGCTTATAGGAAATCCATGCCACACTACCGTTATACTGGGCTGCCTGACTTGACTACCCGTTCTGTCGATTGTGAATCCGGTATTATGGCAATACCTGAGCCAATCCAGGAAATTCTGTTTCAGGGTCGTGCCCACCAACACCTGTCTAACTTCCTTTCCACAGAAGTGGCCTCATCGACCTCATCATAATACACTAAGAGAACCCTTACCTACAGCGACACCACTACCCCACGGTGCATTGACATCAGACCTCACGGAGGTTCAGGCGCCCCTGCACGCCCGTATCCCAGTCCTGCAGAGATGGTATTAGGGATAGCATTAGGACTGGCAGAAACTAGCAGTCGGCATCAGCCGACCACCCTCGGAAAACTACCACGCAAAATACCAGGAAAATCCGAGCCAGGAAGCATGATTGAAACAAAACCTGCGTGCAGCGAAGCACATGCCACTGAAACGAACACGGATTGATTCCAGCTATCAACTATAACCACACTGAATATACATTCTTGGACGATACCGCGAAAACGAAATATTTCTATCGAGAGTTTTCAAAGGATTTCATGCACGAGGCCTTGGCCGAGTGCATGAAATTCTTTGAAAACTCGAGATAGAAATATTTCGTCGCGGTAGAGTCCTAGATATTATTTCCTGTATGTTTCTTAATATCGTTCGTTATCTGCTTAAAAAAGGCCGAAATATGCATAAATAAAATACAGTAACAATAACTACACGTTAGATACTGAAATACTGGCAGTTCTAAATACTCAACAGTTCAGCAAAGCTTACAAATTTTCTTTAAAACAGAAGCCCTCGATGAAATCAAGCTATCCAAGAAAACCATCCAAGAAAACGTCTCGCGCAAAGTTTCTTGGATGGCTGGATTGCATTGCAAGACTGCATCAAACATACAGGAAACCGTAAATCGTGGGTTGTGCGTTGTTTTTCTTGCTGATCATTTGATACTTCCCGGTGCAGAGTGCATATTACAACGACCGTTCAGCATATGACACTCATCGCGGCACGCCACGATTTTTGGCAGTCCCACAAGATCAACTCGCACACATCAACACAACAAAATACCTATTTTGCAGCCCATCAACGCAGGTACACACATCGCAAGCCTCTCCGTCTCCGCCGACGCGACCCCGTCACCCACCTTGATGCTGGCGAACCGCTGCAGGGCGCGCGGTCGACAGCTGAGTAGGCCGCACTCGTCGCCGTACCCAGACTCGGCGGCCGAGTAGCCGGCCTCGGCGGGGTACCGGTAACAGGGCGGCTTGGTGAGCGTGGGTCGCCGCGAGCCCAGCTCCATCATTCGACTGGAAACAGAGAGAAACATCGGTCAGGGTACCACTCGCATCATTCGACTGGAAACAGAGCGACACACCTGACACCGGTCATGGTATCACTCGCAAAGGGAAGAGCGACAGGCAGACGCAGGGGTCAGAAACGTCAGTCACTGACATGAGCGGTGGTGGGTGGCACGGCCCGACAGTGTCAGAACACGCTAGCATGACAGGTGACAGGAGAGTCAGCTCATTATTAGATGGGTAGGTCATAACCCGGTCATGGTCGCGTGAAGGTCAGATTAAATGGATCGCACTCAGTTCACAGCCACGTTTATCGGAACAATTTTAGGCCCGATCAGATTGTGATCGGGCCTAATCATTCTTCACTTCGATCGCTGCTCGAACAGGCAATAAAGTGATACTGTCAAAACGAACCTCGGAGTTACCTACAGCATTTCACAATACCAGGCTACACCGCCCGTCAGCCGGGTCAAATTTACAACAAAGCGGACAAAGTGCATCGCCCCCAAGTAACAACTCTACGGTACCATCGCAGCTGCTGATGGCGACACAAAGAGAAAACAGTATCAGTGCTACCACAACAACGCCCAAATTACAGACCGACGACAAATTAGAGTTCGATCGCTCCAAGGCCAGTAGCGGGAAACAGTTCGAGCACCGCTGCCTTCCGGACACAAACCCTGGCCACAAAGGCCGAGCTGCGGCAGAATGGCCGCAGCTTTATCGCGCAGGACCGGATGGCGACAAAGAGTGGCGCACTTAGGAGGCGGCGACGGCAAAACCGGCGCATGATGGCGACGCTGATGATGATTACGCCACGGGATAGCGGGGAGGGAATGTGTAGATTTAGAAGGCCGTGGAGGCGGGGTGGGATGGGTTGTGTGTGGAACCACTGTGTATGTTGGGACAAAGGATCGGGGGGGGGGGGCATAACGGGAGAAACACTAAACGGATGCAGGAGCGAGGTAACGGTAACACCAGCGTTGAGTTGCATGTCGATGTCGTTGCCGTGCTGGGTGTGGCCTAGTGAAACAAAACACCGACGCACGATGAGCTGGCGCTTTTGGTCCGAGAGGGTGAATGACCGTACTCTGCAAATGTCAATAATGCGGACAGACGGTCCTGATGCGGATGCCATGTCCTGATCATTACTGCAGAGTACACACGGAGCTTTCAGTTGAGAACTAAGTAGCCTATATTTCTGGCACTCGGCAGTCCAACCCAACGTCTGCTCGGCAAGCAGTACCGCATCCGGCTGATACCGCACATTCACACCAGCTGGCTGTGGCGGAAGCACGCGGGACCTGCACGCACGCCATCGCACGGAGCACGGGCGGTCGGCCGCGTCAAACCGTGCCAGCACAGCACGCCGCGTGCACGGCACCAGAACGGCACGGCTCCACACGGCCCGTGCACAGCCCGGCCGCAGGCCCACACGCAGCACAATCCTTCCACCAACAGCCGGCCGGTCGTCGTCCAGGAAACCGCGACCGGTGAAAGTCGCCGGCGACACGCGAGCGGCGACGATCTACCGAATGTGTCCTCACGCCCGGCTGCCATTGAGCGGCTGTGTTCCTCAGGGCGCAGGGCGTGCCGCTCTGCCCGGGACCACCGATCAGCTGGCGACGCGACGGGGGGGGGGGGGGAGAGGGAGCGGGCCAACTGGTCGATATGAAGACAAGGCGCCCGGTGCCGCCGATAGGTACCCAGGTATCGACGCAGCGGCGGCGACGGGGCGGAACGGAGCCACGTGAGACGGCGCCGGTCAATACGATGGTTGCTCAGTGCTCACGAATCACGATCCGACTATATTTTCATGACAGCCATCTGCGAACCGTGAAGGTTTGGCCAAGAACGGATCTGAATAAGACAAACGTGTGAAGAAGCCAATTAGAAGCAATGCTAAAACAAGAGCGAGCGGACGTTATTTGTTTCTCAGATGTGTCAAGTCCGGCGGGTCACGCCGGGTAGGGTTGTGGCTGTATGCAAAGGTCGGGTCGGGTCACCGGTCACTGCTGAATACCGACCCTCTGACGGCTGTGACGGCGGACCAGGTGAGTCACCGTCGGTCAGCCGGCCGCTCAGCTGACGCCCGGATGTGCACCTGGCTCAGTGACTGGAATGGGCGTGTCGCCAGACAGGTGCCACCGCCATAGTCACGCATTATCAGCCGGGCGCCGCCCCTGGCGCCGGCCGGTGCAGCTGGAAACCCAGCTTTAGTGACCACACTGAGCCTGTATTTCCCCACAGACTGCAAAATACAGCGCCAGCTGACAAAGGAAAATGCTGAGGCCGCAGGCCGAGCTGTAATTCTATTAGCGGAGCCGAAATTCATGACACTAATATAGACCTAAGATTGCAAGCGCTGCCAGATGATAAATGATAAATGTGTTTGAAGCGGAGCTGGCCGAAATTATTCACGCCGCATGATGTGCCGAGATTTCATTCCATGTTTAAGCACGGACCCCACTCGAGGAAACAGACCATATAACACCGCCGACGGTGCCTCTACGTCTTTTCCGGCAGTGCCATCCATTTCGTCTTCTATTTGAGGTTCAGAGCAGCTCAGCCAGCAGAAGCGTCATCATTCCTCGATCGAGCCAAGTTCCACCGCGCTCCAACCGCCATTTCCAGGCCCTCAAGTTCAAGGCCGCCCTAGAGGACCGCTTCACGAGTTCCATGAATAAGTAACGGCGCGGCAGGGGCGGTCGTGGCGCGGCCGGCCGCCATCAGTCGTCGCTGTCGTGCCATGCGGCACTGAAACTGAGCGCAGCCGCGCTGAAGAAGGACCGGCATTAGCCGAGCATTTCCCAGAGTGCTGCCGCCGCCGCACGGTGGATAGCCGGACGAGCGTCCGACACTACGACCGACAAACGAGAGCTGGTCAGGCAGACAGGCCTGATAAAGACTCATTCCACTCGGATATCTATCTAAATGGAGATCATAATCGTGACATCCACCGCTCTCGACATGGTTCCTATGCATGGCAGGAGCTATATTGGGTCCCAATTCATACACCCGGATGCTGCAGGCAGCTGGGCACCTGGCTAGAGCTAAGTTCAGCCGGACGTCGCCGCTCTATATGCCTTCGCAAAATCGGGCTGCTGTCGGCAGCGCCCTCTGATCCCGGGCAGAGAGTTGCCAGACAGTTGCCACGGGTGTCCAACGCGACCTTCCGTTGACCCCATCACAAGTCTACCGAGTGACCCAGCCCTCTCGCCCGACCAACGACCTGCCCGGCCACTAAAACAGACGACAAAAAGCCTGTCATCATAGCTCATCGTCCAGCGACCTTCATCGAGCCTCACTGGAAACAATTTTCAAAGTTCCCCAGAGTTTCAGCGCTTCGTCACCGGCCGTGATACCGTCTTTATTGCACATGCCATGACACTGGACCGTTAGAAGGAGACCGCTACTGAGCAGGGCCGATTGCCAGCCGCACTACCGTCCGCACCAGCCGGTCCAACTTACGTGCGTTGAGCAGTTAGCAGTCGCCGTCAAATTCCAGTCACAATACGAACAATCGTTGTGTTGAACGCTGGTCGAGCGGTTCAATAGCGGTTCGGCTACGTGAGTTCGAGAGGGTTTCTGCAGGCCACGGTCACGAATGCAATTTCATATCACCGCTGAGCTAGCGCCGCGTAACTCACATGCGCGCAATATCACGTCCTGGTGTTTCAACCCCGAGCTTTTGCAGACCATCGTCCAACGCCCACTGCCCGAAGCCCACTGCTCGCCGCCCACCGCCCACTATACATCGCCCGACGTCCGTTCGCCGCCAGCCACCAACCCTTCAACACCCATCGCACATCAGCCACCACTTACGATCCATCGACTGCACCCTCTCCCACCCCAACAGAGGACAATACTCCCCAAGCCGCGTCCATTCCCGTCCCCTCGTCAACGCACTGGGTCACCATCGTATGCGATAAAGAACCGATCCGGCCAACAAACAACGCATCACGAATAACGTACGAGGCACGACGGCCTCCTCAATGGCAACGCGGTCGGTGCTTGGAGGCGAAAACACGCTCCGGGACAGAGGAGCGGCGCACAGTCGCTGGCCGGCGGCCAACTGGGCTCCTGCCGGTCCATCGCCTCTATTGGCGACGGGCAAACAGAGCTGAGTGACTACCGGAACCAGCGGCGCGGGGTGAGGGAGGGACCCTCTGAGTAGGCCTCCCGGCGATAACGACAACACTGCGGCACAACATGGCGTGGGCAACACAACAGACGGCCAGCCACATTCAGCGCCAAGGCGGCAAGTTCCGGCTCTTTGCATAAACCAGAGTCGTTTGTGCGTGTGCTGTGGTCACGCTCTGGGTCTGCAGAGTATTCCACCACCACATCGACCAGGCTCATCGGAATCCGTCCATCACGCATCCGGGAAGCTGGGCTTCAGGGAGGCCGTGCCGCAGTTCCTGTACGTGACGGGACAGTAAGTACGTGACGGGATTTGGCTGCAGCTTGTCTGACAATCCCGCCCGGAGAGTGGAGACAGCACCACCCATCTCAATGTTGGCGAGGGGATTATTGCATCAGCGATCGACATATGACACATGGCATACGCCTACATCATTTGCTGCAATTAGATAACCGGATTTTGACAGACACGATTGGCAACTTAGTTCTGAGATAAACATTAAAGGGACTATCCCACCTTTAACATGGGGTTTGAGTTGAGATAGCCAAGTTTGCGGCGAGGTTCAGAAACCACTATCTATCTAGGTTGCAACCCCCGCGGCCTCTTGGTGTTGAAGAAATTCGTTCCCTTCATTTGAAAATGGGCCTTGTACAAGGCCCTATCTTCAACATGGAACGACCGTTAGTGTGACGTCACCTCGTTTAGTCATTCTGATTTAAATGGGTTTGTTCGTTGACAAATCGCTTAAAACTTGGTCTGAACTTTGTTGTGGTGCCTACAGAGTAAAAAGAATCAGCTTTATGACAGTAATGTGGCCTGGGGAAGGAGGTAATTTTGGGCTGTGACGTCACATATTTGAAAGTTC